TGCTGTTTGACTATACTCTGCACAATGAGAAAACCTGAAGTCATTTTCAAGGTCCACCATTTCTTACTTCTTTTCAGTTGGGTCAAGTTTCTAAACTCTCTAAATCTCTGTTTTCTGGATAATGAAAAGCAAATAGGATTCCACTGAGTCTCCTACCTACCTACTCTAGGACTTCTGTGAGGATCAAATGAGATGAGGCATGTGAAAACGCTTCACAGACATTTGGTGAAAGTGTAAAATGTTTCCACCTGTGTTCCAGGGCTGAAGAAACTGCAAGGGGGCTAGTCATCACTAGAGAGGTGAAGCCAGGCATTGCTATGTGACATCATTACCTGGAGCCCACAGCCACCATTTCCAGGCTGGACTGGGCTGTGGGCTGCATTTTATGCAATGGGGTTTTGGCAGCATTGGCTGCGGTTTGGTGGGCTGTCACTCCAGGGTGGTGATGGAACCCGTGTCCCACTTGGGGGAAGCTGAGTGTTGCTTTGTGGACACAGTGCCGTTTCTCTGTGCATGTCATGGCAGCTCCTGTATCGAGCGTCTTCCCCCTGGTGGTCAGTGCATGTCATAGCAACTGGTCGGAAGGTGGGAAGGACACTTAGCATATTAGCCTTTTATATAGATAGATTCCTTTCTTTGTTCTAGAAAGAATTAAGGTCATCCAAAATTATATATATATATATATATACATACATACGTATACACTGAGTGGCCAGATTATTATGACCACCTATATGTATGTATATATATATGTATACATATACATATATGTGTATATATACATATATGTGTATATATATATATATATAAAATTAAAAAAGCTTAAAATGAAGAAACTAGGGCAGAGGATACAGACAGAAATAATAAGACTGTGTCATAAAAAGGTAAACAACCCAAACTCATGTTTCTAACACTTGTTAAGGGTCGAAAATGTGGTTTGGAGTGCGGCCAGCGGAACGGGAGACAGGAAGCGTGGCCCTTATTGAAATGGACGGTTACCGCGCTCCCTAGGAGAGGGGGGCGCTATTTAGCTTCCGCCAAATGTCGTTAAGGAATTTTTCAGGCACATTTGGAAATTGGGATTTCTATATGAAGTCTCTGAATTTTATGTTTGCATCAGATTAAAATCATTAAACACCGTATTGCATAGGGCTAAGAAAATGTCTGCTGACAAGACACAGCCTGCAGGTTGTTCTTCAGAATTGCTCTCTAGAATTACCCGAAGTGCTTTCCCCAGACCAACAGGCCCAGGCTACATCCTTAACTGACAGAATGAGAAACATCTGGGAGGGGGACTGGCTGTGCATCATTGGAGAACATTCCCCAGATGATTCCAACCTTCGCGTATAGTGAGAAATCACTGCGCTAACGAAACCTGGGGAAGGAAACAAGGTATTTCAGGCGGCTTTCTCGGGGGATCAGCTTCCAGTCACTGCTAGCCATGACTGTAACCTGGGGAACAGTGCCAGGCACGCGGTCTAGCGGGATGTTGGCTGCGCTTTGCCTTACCCACCTTGATTTCTCTAAGGCACTAAGTATGCAGTTTGGTTCTTATTTTCTTGGCTTGATAAGGAAGTATTCACAGAGGAACTGAAAATAGGAATAAATGAGATAGAAACGTATGCCAACCTCGATTTCGGCGGCAGCAGAGAAAATAAATGACAATGCTCTGAACCTCTGAAGAAGTTTTGAAAGTCACAGAACAGAACACGGTTTCCAGAATCCTACCACCTTGCAAGACGATGCATTGGTAATGGACCGACTGCACTTCCACGGGTTTCTTCAGCTCAACCATGCCAACCCTTACACCTGCCCTCAGTTTACCTTCTTATGTCTGTAATAGTGGATGCAGCCGTCATGCTTCTGCACAAACCACCTCTTCCTCCAGCCCTTCACGAAGCCAGAGTGAGTCCTCTTATGGAAGTAGCCGCGGCAGGTGGGCCGAGGGGTATTGGGGCAGCGGCTGTTGTCAGATCCCACCACCAGAGTCAAGATGTCTGGGCCTAGGGGAATGATTTGGGAGAGTTGAGTGGCTGAATCTTCAATCAGCTGGAAGGATGGCTGCTTTTCATGGGGGGAAATGGGTGAAAAAGAAATGATCATTTTCACAAATGGAATATATGAAATAGAATCCCACAATTGGAATGAATCAGCGTTCTTTAGTAATTCACCCCCTCACGTTGATGAGGAAAATGAAAGTTGGGGAGGTAAAGCGACTTTTGTGAGTCCCCACTGCTCACAGGGGGTTGAATCAGATGTGAGACCCAGGTTTCCTGACTTCTGGTGCAGAACTGTCTCTATTCAACCATCAGCCTAGTTGGGTCTGATCATGAATCACTCAAGTCTCTTCCTTCTGACTGTGTGTAACAACGTCAAGCAAAATCTTTAATGTATTTTGATTTGCATCCTAAGAAGGAAGGTAGGCAATGTTTGGCTTTCCTATCTCACTTTTATTCAATGAACCTCCTTGACCTGAGCTAGTTAAAGGGAGGATCTAAACCACTGCTAATATACCTGTCACCAGTATTATTTCTGATCACAATCAATGACAAACCTTTGAACTTGGAAGTAGACAGAAATTCTACCAAACTTCGTGCTGAGGATTGGACCCTGAGCTTCCAGGTGCTTGTCCTCGACTTCTCAGAGTGCCTTCCTTCCAGCCTGGACCTCCTTTCCAATAGGATCAGGGTGGTGCGTAGCTTAGGGGAAATTGTCCCTGGTAATATGAGATCACTGTTTACAACTGCTTTGATGCTGCCAGTGTGGACACAGACTCACAACATACGCCCACCTCTTGATGCCTCAAGAAAATTCTCTGAATGTCATTCGGACAGACAGCAACCCTGACATGTTTTGAAGACTGCAAATGGGGTATGGCTTCATTTACAATTCCTCTGAGAGGCAGGCCGCGTCCCGGAAGGGGGACATTTGGCCTTGGCCGTGCTGACTTCATCATGATGTCTGACATTGAGATTACTGATCTGTTTAGAGCTGTTTATGGAAATGGGGGGTCAGTGAGGAGACTCCTCTTATACAAATGACAAGCTCCAACCCCGGGGATCATTCCTGGCTGAGCCATACGGGCCTGAAAATAAAGGTTTGTTCCAGAAAGGCTGACATAGTCTTAACTTTAGCAGCACGCAAAGCACTTTGGTAATTAAATAACTTTGTGTGTCAAGATAATTCTTCATTGCCATGTAAATACATTTAAATTTATTGAGCTGCCCTTAAGCTCCTGTCAAAAACACATCCAGAAAAATGAGCAGGAAAAAAAAAACAACCAAATGCCTTTGTCTTTGGACTTCAGTCCCCAAAGAGCTGCACTCCTGGACCAATGTGCCTCATCGACACACCTGCCCATTTATTCATGTGCTGCTGCAGCGGGTGGCCCTGGAGGCCATTTTCCTCTCGTGTACACAGACTGCATGTGGGGTTCTCTGATGCTGATCGGGCTAAGCTTGAGCTTCAGCCAGCCATCAACGCGACTCGGTGCACCAAAAACATCCTCTCGGGGGCAAGGATGCAAATGGTCCTGCTGCAGCCTGGTGCCATCTATAACGTTTCTCGCGTTCAGACGTAGGACATGATCCTGACGCATGGGGGGCTGTTGAGTTCCAAACAGCTGCTGGGTGATGGTGGTGCTATCCTCTGCAGATTCCATCAGGGGCCAGGGGACCGAGGCGTTCACAGAGATTTTAGACTTTAGATGTCCTCTCCAAATTAGATGATTTATGTAGTTACTGTAGTGTGTGTGTGTGTGTGTGTGTGTGTGTGTGTGTGTAAACTCAATGTAAAGCACAAACAATTCAAACCTCCTGGTTTTATTATTATTTATCTATTAATTTACTGGGACCCTAAAACATTAAAATGTCCCAGTTCGGGGCTTCTCAGGCTAAATGCAGGTGCAGATGACCTGGTGGGTCTGTTGCAGTGCATGTCCTCACTCAGGTCTGGGATGAGGCCTGGGATTTCGCGTTTGTAACACGCTCTCTGGTGGTGTCAGACCACAGCTTGAGTAGCAAGTCCCCGGGCTGCTCTCAGTTGCGGAGAGGCCCTGCTCATGAACAGAGCTTCATTACCAGCCGCCGTGCTTCTCCCTTCCCTGGACTGTGATTTAGTCTCCCCTGCATGCCTTCATTTTCAGCCCCAATATTGTGCAACCACAAAATCATTAGTTTTTCCATGGGTTACTTCTTTCTCTAGGTGTCTCTCCACCCTGGAGAAAGAACACACATAACCATTGCCTTCTATTAGACATCCCAGAAACCTTGCTTGCTGTGTGGGGGTGGGTGGGAGGAAGGATACGGGAAGATGAATGGCTTGAGGTGAAATAGTCAAAGGAACTATTCATGGGAGGAGAGTTTGAAAATCATGTCTTTAACAAATTCAGCTCTTTGGTGATGATGTCCTTAAAAAGAAAAAGTCTCTAGGAAACTCTCATGCCCTAGCACAGTGATGGCGAACCTATGACACGCGTGTCAGAGGTGACACGCGAACTCATTTTTTGGTTGATTTTTCTTTGTTAAATGGCATTTAAATATATAAAATAAATATCGAAAATATAAGCCTTTGTTTTACTATGGTTGCAAATATCAAAAAATTTCTATATGTGACACGGCACCAGAGTTAAGTTAGGGTTTTTCAAAATGCTGGCACGCCGAGCTCAGAAGGTTCGCTAGCATTGCCCTAGCACTTGGGCCTAGAATTTTGGAAGTAAGGAATTGTGGGTGATGTTATTTACAGCTACAGGAGAGAGAAAAGTGACTCCTTTTTTTAATTCACACTTGCTCCTTGCATCACTGTCTTCCCATTATGTCACCAATCTTAAACTGTGTCAGAGTCGCACCTCTGTAGTCAGACAAACTCCAGCACCCGCGGCGCAGGAGAGAGACCTGCAACACAGGCCCCTTCCCGCCCCTCAGGGCTGTTCGGTGGGCGGCACTGGGTGCAGCTGCCAAGGTCCTGCTCCATGGGCACCCCTGCCTGTTTTCAGGGAAGCCTGCGCACAGGGAGACTAGGAGCCCTCACAGACGCAAAGGGCTTCCAGGGCGATGAAGCTTTATTGTTTTCCTCTCCTTTTCTTCTTTCCAGCATTTCCCCTTGATCATTAGATCTTCCATGTGAGTCTTCAAGTAACCAGCTCTACTAAACCCAAACTAGAGCATATGAGGGACTTCATTAGGTCAAGATCCACATGGAACTATCGTCACTCAGTATCATCAGTGTGATACTGAATGCTTTCTCAAATCTGTTTTGGGTTTCCTAGAGGCAGAATTAAGGTAATTTGTACAAGTGGGTGTGATTAATAGCATTTCTGAATAGAATTATTATTCAAATACTTTTATTTTATATTATAATTGTCTGTAATATATATGTTACTATATTATCCTATGGTTATTATTGAATAGAATTATTTAATAGAATTATTGAAAAATTGACCTTATAACAGACGGTGGACCTCTTTCTAATGCAAGTCTAGGGAAATATGGTAACACCTGCACGGGAAGCTAACAAAATAGACTCCTCGTCTATGGCTGTCACCTTCTGGCCATGCCTCTGCGATGCCGGGCTGTGTACTGATGCTGAGCTGGCTGGGAAAGAGCCACCAGGGAGAGCTGATCAAAACTACAAATGTGCAGGCCACCAGGAACTCTACGTAAAAGGGTGTCTCTGGTGGGTCTCACATGCTGTTAGATACAGGATTTAATGGTTTGAGAAAAGTGACTTAATGTTTATAACTCTAAATAAACAAAGTAGCAACCAGTAATACAATAGGATTTTACCAACGTTTCAAATGCATGGGAATGAAATGGTACAGAAATATTTAGTGGCCAAAATGATATCAGTTAGACTCTTAAGAAGTCTAGGCAAACAAATACGACAGGCAAGCAGAAACATTTGGATTTTTATTTTATTTTTGATTTTTAAATAAGCTCTTAATAGATGCTTAAATATATATTTCAAGATCTGTATACATCAGATGAGTCTAACAAAAGGCTCTATCAGTTGTTTTATGATCATTGCTTTTTTCAGATAAGTTGGTGACTTTCTCTCACAGAGAGGACACCCAGAAGCTTGTCTCAAATTTTGTGTTCCAGAGACGCCCTGACCAGTTTATAGGCTTGTTAATAAAATCCAACATGTAAAGCACTACATAAAACTAACTTATTCCTATTATTTTTTCCCTTTTCTCTTCCTCTTTTTAGTTTCTTCTCACAGACCCACTGCATCTCAATAATCCAGTTTTGCCTTCCTTCACCATTACTGCCTATACATTTTAGAATGTTGGTGGAAGTGAAATTGTGTGGGTGGGTCCCTGCTCAGGAGGTGTTCATCTGTCACTCCTGAACTTGGGTGGAGACCGCCCAGCCCATCATGACACTCAGGTTGTTGCACACAGTTGTCTTTGGAATGAAGCTCCCTTTTGTTTTGTATTATTTTACTTTATTGTCTCCCTCTGTTCCTAACTTTCTTCCAACATTCTGGTCCTCACAATAGGCACTCATAGGACTGTAGGCACACTCTTTTGTGTATGTCATTTTATTTTACACAAATGATATTGTGCTAATATCTCACTCTATTACTCTCTCTCTCTCTCTCTCTCTCTCCACTCAAAACCATTTTTAAAGGATCTATCTATCCATGATGCTAAATGCTCATCTCTTTTATTGTTTCAAAGTGTGGCATAGAAATGCAAGTATGTTACGTATCCATTGGTCAACCAGACTTCCTCTAAATATTCTCTACCACACAGAACATTGCATTGAATGTAGTTCAATTCCAGTCAAGGGCACATGTCTGGGTTGTGGGCTCAATCCCCAGTAAGGGGGGTGCAGGAGGCAGCCGATCAATTGTGCTATTTCTCACTCTATTACTCTCTCTCTCTCTCTCTCTCTCTCCACTCAAAACCATTTTTAAAGGATCTATCTATCCATGATGCTAAATGCTCATCTCTTTTATTGTTTCAAAGTGTGGCATAGAAATGCAAGTATGTTACGTATCCATTGGTCAACCAGACTTCCTCTAAATATTCTCTACCACACAGAACATTGCATTGAATGTCCTTGTATTTGTCCTCTCAGCAGTTTCTTTGGGCTTAAACCCAGAACTGCAATCTAGTGCAAAAGATGGATAAGGTACTTTACTAGATGTTGCCAGATTGCTCTCTGAAATGCCTATAGCCTAACAAGAGTGCATGAGGGTTCTCATTTCTTTATATACTTACCAAAGTTTGCTATCATATCATTTATAATTTCCTCCTCTAAGCTGGTGGATCTAAAATGTCATCTTGTTAACTTGCATTTCTTTGACCACTAACAAAGTTTTTCTCCCACAATTTCTTTTATTGTCCACCTTTGTATATGGTATAAAGTATAAGGTAGCATACTTATAGTTCTGTATAAAAATGATGTACTAAAAAAAAGTTGGCCTTTCCTCATTGTTTTGTGATGATATATTTATCATAGATCAAGTTTTAATAACTATTTAGTTTGTTTTAGTGTGTTTCTAAGTTTTCTAACCCATTCTGTCCCACTTGTGTTTTTATGTGACAGTACCACTTTTTATTTATTATTATTATGGTTTTGTAATGTACCTTAATATCTTGTATAAAAGATTTCTTTGCCATTGCTTGCCCCATTCATAAATGATGTGATTATTTATAGACATGTATTCTTTTGCATATATTTGAGGATAACTTTGACAAGCTACTCAAATATGTTTAATAAAATTTAATTATTCATTTTATTAATTTGGGGAGAATTAATATCTTTACAATGTTTTTCCACCTATAAAGATAACTATACATCTCTAGGTACTTATGACTTCTTTTATGTATTTTGGTCAAGTTGTACATATTTTTTTTTTTTAACAAAGTCCTTGTAGTTTTTTTGCTATTTTTAATCATATATTCGTGCCCTTTTTTTTCCTTTTTGGTTATTACTGGTATAGGTGAACACTACTTATTTTTATAAGGAGATCTTGGTTTGGTCAATATTTCCCTAATTAGTTCTAAGCATTTAGTCTGTTGATTTTGTTATAATTATATAATCTTCAAATAATAATGGTTATATTTCTTTCCTTCTAGACAATACACCTTTATTTCTTTTTTTTGTATTATTGGATAAGTCAGGACCTTTGATATTAGATGAACAGAGGTTGCTAAAATTTGGCATTATTCTTCTCAATCTCAAAAAAATATGTCCAAAATTTTTCTATTAAATGTTTTGTTGTTGTGTACATTCTTTTATATATATATTTTTCATGGTTAGATTTTTGGTAGATTCCCTTTACCAAGTATGAAAAGAAACTTCTGTTCCTATTGTTTAGAGAATTTTAAATAAATTTGCTGAACTTTATTACATGATTTTTTATTCTATTGAGATAGTCATGTGATGTTTTTTCTTTAGTCCACTAATGCGATGAATTGTGTTAAAATATTTTCTTATGATAAGCCATCTTTACTTTAAACCTGACTTGATTATGATGTATTATGTGTAATTTGAATAAACAGCTTGGTTCAGATATCTATTTGTTCTTACACCTCATAAGTAAAATGGATATATTATTTTATTTTTATCATATATTTATCTGGTTCTGGAATCAAAGTTATAGTAATCTTATAAAACGAGCCAAGCAGCATTCTCTCTTTCCATTTTTCTGGAAAAATTCTATAGGATAGAAATTACTTGTTCTTTGAAAGTTAAATAAATTTCATCTATAAAAGTGACTGGTATTTTGGGCTTTTGTATGGTGGATGGAGTAGGATGGAAATGCATTATAGCCTGTACCAATTTTCTATCTATTCTTGCACTTACTTTGGCACCATGAATGTTTTTGGAAAATATTTTTATCTATCTAGTTTTCAGGTTTATTCTTATATAGTTCAAAGTAGTATTTAATTGTTTTTAAAACTATTTTTCTATTGTTTCTATTTTATTTTGTTTATTTGCATTTTTTCTTTTTATTATTTCTCAGTCTTAGAGATGTGCGGGAGATGGAGTCTGAGAAAGGAATAACCATCTCCCTAATCCAGCTGGGCTGAGGCGCCACCTATGTTTCCACAGTCTGTCCATAACAGGTGCTTCTGTCTGTCTGGCTTTCAGTGGCAGGGGATTGACCACTGGGGGCTAGAGGGGAGGAAAACACTAAGAAAGGGTCCCCCAGCTGTGCCCTACATGAGGCGTTCAGCCCTCTTCTGCTCTTGGCTGCAGATCCCACTCCTCCGAACATCCACAGTGACATTGTCTTCTCAAAAGCTTCTTACTGTCCTCCCTTTAGAACATCAGATCTACAATTTGCCTTTCTGCTTCTGAAGCATCTCCACTTTTGGGTGTGAGGAGTGGAGACACAGGGAGGGTGAGTGCGTCCTTGGGGAAGGGAGACCAAGGTAGGGTGGAAGCCAGAATACAGCAGCAGGGAAACCCATCCCACAAATGGCTGCCAGGAACAGCACAAGCGAGGGTGTTAGATTTAGCTCTTCTCTCAGTATCAGTGTCCGTTCGTCATCTTTTAGAAATCTGAAAACCTTCCATTCAGGTTTTAGAGATGTTCCCTTAACTGATATAGAGAGGCTGAATGGTTCAGTATTATAAAGAACACCAAACTTCTTGGGCGGAAATAAAATAAGTCCTACAAGTGTAAGTATTACTAAAATCAGGTTTTATTTAACTCAGAAAATTGGAAAAATAATCATTTGTGATGAAGAACCTAGGAACAGGTAAATCCAAAAGCAATGGATAAACTTCCCGTATTGTATGGGATGCTACCAATTCATTCGTACAGTCATTACCATATTATCTTGATTCCTCATCTGCACATGTAGGACTCACAGGTAGTTGTGCACACGTGACCTCATCATGTCCTTGGGTTCCTGGTGCACCTAGGACATAACAACTCCTTCAGAGGTAGCCAAATACTAAGCTAAATTCTTTTCTTTAAAAGGGTAGAATAGCTTATCAGGAGGCAACATTTGTTAGTGATTTTCTGCCTGAGAGAAGTCTCTGGCGTTGCTAACCCTCAGGCATAGCGGCATCATGAAAAAGGGCAGTGATATAGCTCAGCAGGTGGCACCTGCGGCCTATCTCAACTGCTCACATTTTAATATCGCTGCCTGAGAATATACCCCGGGGCGGGGAGGTATGCCTGCAGCCTTTGGGAAGCCAGGCAGAGGACACCTCACCAAAGAAGCCGGTGATGGACTAAAGCATTTGCCAGCTGCGTACTTTTAGGTCTGTGTGGAGGTAAGGATTGGTAACTTCACACCAGAGGAAGTAACTTGGTTTGCAGAGAGGAAGATGGTATCAGCCTTCCCACGGAGTTTAATGTGAGTGGATACAAGGGCGCGGGGCATGTGTTACTGTCCTCTTGGTTCCATCCGTGTCAGAATTGCTTTAAGGGCAGGCTTCAAGTGGCCCTAGGAGAATCTGTAAAAACTTTAAGTTGTAATTTCTTCATATCTCTCTCTCTCTCTCTCTCTCTCTCTCTCTCTCTCTCTCTAATTTAAACCCCGAGTCTCTTAACTCTAACAACTGATGGAAAGGAAGAAAAAAGGAAGAAAGAAAGGGAGAAAGAGACAATAGAGGGAGGGAATTTAAGGAAATATGTGGAATATGTGGAAATAAATGGAGCACATTTGGCTTACTGCCATTAGTTTCACTATTGTGGCTGGCTATTGATACCGAAGGAGCATGGGCAGAAATGTGATTTTATTCATATGAAAAAATTACGTTGCCTCTTCCACCTGTTGGAACTCCCTGGTGAAGTGCGGCTCTGTGCTTCCTCAGATTAACTGTAGACTCTGTGGCTCTACCTACCTTTCCTCGCAAGGTGCACAGCTTCTGCGTGCTCCGCACTGGTGACCTCGGTGCCATTGACAGCCAGCACCACGTCTCCGATCTGCAGCCCAGCTTCCTCAGCAGCGCGGTCTGCAAGAAGACAGACAACAAGGGTCTCACTGAGGCAGGGTCCCAAATTGAGTGCCCTGCTGTTTGTCCCCTTTTTAAAAAGCTCTTTCTCTAAAGGGCCTTTCTTTCCAACTTTAAACAATTGACTGTGTCATTAATAAGAAGGAAAAAGCTGTCCTCGCGGCCTCCCTTTCATTTCCTGGACCCGGTTTCTTTGCACATTCAGCCAGGCATCTACGTGGCCTCTTTGCAATATAATAGCAGCTGCTCAGAAACTCAATCTATTCATCCACCAGAAGGTTGAACTACGAGTTCTCATTCCTTCATTGCTGCTAGGTCTCTTTGTAACCCTGAGAAAATCACTTAACCTCAATATCTTCATCTATAAAAAGGAGGGTGGGGGCAGCGCTTCGCTGCAGGATTGTTGAGGGAACAAGTAATTGAAATACTTATGAAGTTGTGGCAAAAACAGATCTTGGAGTAGCCAGAGAAAAAAAGAAAAAAGGAAATAAAGAGCCGCTTTTGCTTTCATTGTATAGGCTCAGTTCTGAAAGGAAACCCAAAATAGCCTAAGCCTTGGGATTTAGACTTTGCAGGGTGGGGAGGACCTATCCAGAGGCTATTTATTTTATCCCCTGGTTTTGTAGTATCTGCACTTCCTGTAAAATACCTAATATTTTCTAGGGGTAAAAGAGGGCCTAATAAGCCATTCTAAGGTTAATTCATTTTTAATAAGATCTTCTGTATATTTAACCAAGATTCCTCCACCAGCAGTTTAAATCTACTTTTTCTGCTACACTTCAGTGTGAACCCATTTCCTTTTTCTCAGCTCTCAGTGCCGGATGCATGTGCGTGGTTCATGGGCGTGCAGAATATTGTGCAGAATTACCAGGCTGTCCTTCTCTAGGTTGTCATACCCTCCTCAAAGACTTTTAATCCTAAAGCATGACTTACGTGGTGAGGTAACATGACTCTGAATAATTTTAGAAATCATCACTATTTGTCTGCGTCTATTTACAATGTAGTGAGGGGAAGGTCTTTGCTGCTTGGATAAGCAACGGCCAATCAATGTGGAAAGGTAAGCAAAGAATAACATTTAATATATCCATTCATTTACATAATGCCACCCTTGTAATGAATTGAAGTATTATGATATGGTTGATCATTGAAATGAATTCCTCTATAGTTTTAAAGGACTCAGAGGACTTGTTATGTCAATGCATTCTAAATCAAATTCTAAAATGATAATATAGATCCAAAATGACTTTTTAAAAAAATCAATTTTTGTGTTCCCTATGGCACCAAATATTAAGTCCTATATGGTGGTTGTCCATAAAACACATATTGAATGAATGAATGGCCCAAAAGTATGCCTGCAAGGGGTTTAGGATTCCCCTGGGGATGAAAAGATATGCACAATGAAAAAGAAAAGTAATTTGCAACACAGTGAGTGGTAAGTGTAAAGTAAGTAGCGAAGACAGTAGGTACTGTGAAGCCTCCGAAAAGGGATTCTCATTCCCATTTGAAGTGGTTAAGAAATGCTTTCCAGAGGAGGTGGAACTAGATTCCCCACAGTGGGGAGTAATGAGGAGGTCAGGGTGGCAAAGACTGCTGGTCATTCACAAAATGAATTCCTCTTCTACCTGAACTCAACAGTTGGACAGTTCTTCTCAGACTCTTGCAATTGGATAGGCAGTGTGATTGAGTTCTGGCCAATAGAATGTGGGTAGAAGTGATGTATGCCACTGCTAGGCCCGACCCACAAAAACATCCTAGCGACCACACTTCATACTCCTTTCCCATCTGCTTGCCAGATGCAGATAGCTTCAAGGCCCTAGGGCAGTGGTTCTCAACCTTCCTAATGCCGCGACCCTTTAATACAGTTCCTCATGTTATGGTGAACCCCAGCCATAAAATTATTTTCATTGCTACTTCATAATTGTAATTTTGCTACTGTTATGAATCGTAATGTAAATATCTGATATGCAGGATGTATTTTCATTGTTACAAATTCAACATAATTAAAGCATAGTGATGAATCACAAAAACAATATGTAATTATATATGTGTTTTCTGATGGTCTTAGGTGACCCCTGTGAAAGGGTCATTAGACCCCCAAAAGGGTCGCGACCCACAGGTTGAGAACAGCTGCCCTAGGGGAGGATAATACTGAACAACAACAAAAGAAAACAAAACACCTGGATCTTGAAACATTGTGTAGGTCAAAGTCAGCATTCAATCAAGAACATCCACATTGTACTATTAGTCACTCATTAATGCGAGTGACTGATGAGCATTTATTGTCTTAAGCCATTCATATATTTTTGTTACCAAAGGTAGCATAACCTCAGTCAGCAAGCCAAGAAATAGAAGTTTTCTGAGCAAAGGTACACAAGCAGAATGTTTTAAGACACGCCAAAAAGTTAGTGACTCAGATCAACTGCAGCAGAGGTTGTTGGTAGGTAGGGTGCGTGTGGAGGAGAAGATCAAAAAGTTAGCCAGTGTGTAAAGGGTCTTCCATGTGAGGATGAGGAATTTGTACTTGATCCTTCAACAATAGAGAGCCATTAAAGTTTGTGAGCAGACAAGAGATATGCAGTGGTTTTTAGAAGATTGATTTACAATAGGGAGAGATTAAATGAAGAAGATATATTATTATCAGAATTAAAACAGGCCTGTAATGGGACTCTGGGAATACAAACTGGAAATGAATGGAAGGTATAAAATGCTGGCATAGGACCTAAACCACTTCATTTCACTCATTTGCATAACTGCCTTTCTATACCTAATGGACTATGAATACCTCAAGAGCAAGTAAAAATTTATCTATCTTCTATCTATCTATATCTATCTATCTATCTATCTATCTATCTATCTATCTATCTATCTATCTATCTATTTATCTATCTATCATCTATCTACCTACCTACCTACTTATCTATATCTATCATCTATCTATCCATCCATCCATGTGTTTCTCATGTCTAGTATAATCTCTGGCACATGGTAGGGCATTTAAAAAGTTGGCTAAACGTGTGTGTTTTTTGGTAATGCTAAAATAATCATGGAAGAGAAAATTGAAAATGTTTATTAGGCTGATAGAAAAATATGTTTGAAACCTAGGATATGTGATGGGTCTGAGAAATGGGTTCAGAATGTATGAAGAAAGGGACAAGTGTAAGGAGAGAAATGCAGAGTATTGAGGACAAATCCTTGATGAATAATCACCTTTAAGGAGAGGAAGGAAAGAGGAGCCAAAAAAGGAACATAGAATAGAGATGGAGCAGATGGATCCCAGAGAACATGGAAGCAAGAATATAAGATCAGTGAAGGCAAGAGAAGAATTTCAAGATGGAGACTATGGTCCACAGTCCTACAGTGACAACCACAAAACATTCCATAGAAATAGCTTTTTAAATTCCAGTCTATTCAAGAAGTCAAGAACAAGAATCAATGAAAGGTGATTAAATCTGGAGGTGGGAAAGTAAATGATAAAGAATTTTAAGGGGTATGAGGAAAGTGGAAGACAAATGTTTGAGCTATTTGTGCTGATCAATACCTGCTAAATAATTGACTAGATAAAGTCATAAACTACTATAATCAAAGTATAAGTGTGTGATAATACATCTTGACTCCTAAGTAAACTCTGCCTTTAAACAATAGTTTTTGACTTAAGGGCTCCACCAATATGGAAATAATTCATTTTCAACACCTTTGAGATTTAATTCTCATACCATATATTTCACCCATTTAAAGCATATAATTAAATGCTTTTTACTATGTTCTTGGAATTGTGCTACCATCACCACAATATAATTTTAGAACATTTTTGTCACCCCAGAAAGAAACTCCCTAACCAATAGCTGTCACTCTCTATTCCCGCCAGCCTTTCAGCTGCAGGCAACTGCTTATCTGTTTTTTCCTCCTCTATGGATTTGCCTATTGCGGACATTTCATGTAAGTGAAATCATACCATATGTCATCTTTTGTGTTTAGCGTCATTGATTTAGCAAACTCTTTTTAAGATTTATTCACATTGTACCATGTATTACATTTCTTTTAATTGCTGAATAAATATTTTATTGTAAGGATATAGAACATTTTTTATGCATCATCAGTAGATGGGAATTTGTATTTTTTTTCCATTTTTTGAATAAATAATGCTGCTGTGGAAATTTGTGTACAAGTTTTCTTGTGGACATATGTTTTCGTTTGTCTTGGGCATATACTTACGAGTGGAACTCTGAGTCAAATGGCAACGATGTTTAACTTTTTGCGATGCAGTCATACGGTTTTACATTTTACATTCCCATTGGTATTGCATACATGTTCTGGATTTCTCCACATTCTTGCCAAGAATTGTTGCTTCTGACATTTTGATTATAGCCACCCTAGAGAGTGTGAGGTGGCATTTCACTGTGGTTGTCCTCTGCATTTTCCTGATGACTGTGGAACATTTTTTTATGTGCTTATTGGCTATGTGTACATTTTCATTGGAGAAATATCTACTTAAATATTTCACTCATTTAAAAATTGTTACAGTATTTATCTTTGTATTTTTGAGCTATGAGAGTAAAAAGGATTCTTGTTTGTACTAGTAACGGTATTATTTTTGATAGTTTGTTTTTAGCTTTAATGATAGATGTGTGTTTCATTTTGCAATGCAGCTTACAAATTCTCCCTTTATCTACTAATTAATGGTAGGAATTTGAGGCATTAGGACTTCTTGGAGGAGGGAACTATTTCAAGGTGACCTGGCAATATACCATACAGATGGTTGCCCTACTTGGTCTTGGGAGCAGCTAGAAGTGTGTATCTTACATTACACAGGAAGGAGTGACATGGTAGAAAAACAAGACCATTGTTTTCTAAGTTCGTTTCTCCAAAAGGATACTTGACTGAATAGTTCTGGGTTTATAAAAAGTTAAATGCTGAGCTACTCTATCCTTTCATGCATATTTACATACAAAGCAGAATCTGAAAAACCTTATAATTTAAAAAAGGGGCTTGTCCTTTTCATTAAAAAAAAAAAATTGTACTACAACAGTAGCATTTTAATTCTAGAGCTTCCAGAAAGATGGGCCTGTCCACAATTTCCTGTATGGCTTGTCCATCCCTAAATGTATAGTTTCCTTTTCAAGTTTGCTTGGTATCAAAGTTGGAACATCTGTTTCTTTTGTTTATGCCAACAGATCGCACAAGCATTTAGTCTTTCATAGAAAATGTTCATGCAAATGCCAGCTGGTGGGTGTGGGCAATTAGTTATGTAAGCTCCGCGCAAGCTCCCTCTCTCTATACTTATGGATAATCACTTCCATCCCACCTACACGTCTCCCGCTTTATCTTTTTATCTCCAGTGTGTAATTAAGCCTCTCTAGTGCATCCAGAACAATGTTTTGTGGTGTGAATGAGATTCTCAGAAGTGCTGAAAATATGTGTAATTTTGAAGTCCCTCAACCGCTCAATTAGTAGATTTGACTAGACAATGGGTTTCAGAGGTTGCTCTTGAGAAACGTTTTAAAAAAGAAGTAGACTCAGCAGCTACATGAATCCCTGCCAGGGCAGCACTTTCTGATATTGAATAAAATCCTAGGTTAACTATGTATTGTACCATTTCTGCTACAGTAGACACGCTTCAGCTTTTCCTATTACAAAACCTCGAGGCCTCCTAAATACAGTCATTTGCAATCCAAACATTTTTGTTTCGCATTTGAATGGATGAGATACAGTTAACAGAGATTTCAGTTGAACAGTTGCAAAGGTATCAAAACTTAAAGAGATCATAACGTTTTATGAAACTGCGTTTCGTTATTTTATCTAGAATGACAGGCACAGAGTCAAGTCTGTCAAGGTTTTGGATATTTTGCAAAAATCTGCTAAACTTATAAAGTCAGACCTATTTGATTTTTTAGAAAAAGGGGTAGTCGTTTATTTTCTTTATGAATTAGTTTATTTCTTTATTTAAGACAAACTTTGTAAAGTCAGAGGTAGAAAGAGGAGAGTAGGCAAAAGGGGAAAAGGAAAGAGAAGAGAAAAATGGTAAGAGGAGGAGCGGGAGAGAAGAAAGTGGAGTGGGAAGATGAGAAACATCCACGAATACATTCCCCATGAATAAACATTTATATCCTTAAAGCTAGATGTCTTTTTAAAAATGTAGTGACAAAAACCAGAAGCCACTTGATGATAAAAAGTTGCCTGTCTTTGTGTCTATAAAAAGTAATCCCACAATTGTTTTTTGTTCTTGTTAATTTGAAGGGCACTTTCAGGGCCAGGTAAGGTTGATCTTGGACAAAATTTGCAATCTTTATCTTTTGTCACCTGAGTTCTGTCACCATGTTCCAATTCTACCCTTTCCACACTTATTTGGGGGTTCATTCTTCCACCCCTAAATCCCCCCTACATTTGGGTAAATTTCCTCCCTTTCCCTTCCCTTAATAAGAAAATTATTTGTTAAGTCATCATTTACATATTTGATTAACTGATTAAACTTTAATTGAAATTCATTCATTTCAAAGTAAAAATATATCCATGCATTCGAATTTTGACATCTAACTCAGAATAAAAGGCGTTTTTCCCTGAAAAAAAACAAAACACACAATTCAGCTTAATAACTTGGCCCTTTTCCTTCTATAAGTATTTTAGAATCTAATTTAAGAAAATTTACCACAAAAGCAAAAACTAAAACAGCTACTTTACTAGACTTGTAATTGGGATTACATCTACAGATCAATTTAAGGAAGAATTGACATCTTTACATATTAAGATTTACAAATGATACACATGTTTTTTCTGCCATTAATTTATATGTTCTTAAATTTCTTTCTACATTTTGTTATTTTCAAACTAGTATTTGCCACACCTTTATTGGGATTGTTCCTATCAATTTTCTCCTGCTTGCTGAGGGCTTTCTATTCACACCCTCCGTGGAGGTGTTGGACCTACACTGCCAACATACACCTTCAAGAGATGTGATGTGAGATTTGTAATTGAGTAAAAGTCTTCCACTGCCACACTTTCTGAGCATCGCACCTCACACTAAGGCTACATCCTCCCCAGGAAGGTACTGTTTACGGCCTGTGAGTGAGCTGGAAAGGATACCAGAGCCAAGCTGTTTGTGGCCATTGCGGGACCTCACTCAGGGACCCGCTGCTGTGGAGCTTCCCATGTCTGTCTCAGAATTTCTCAGAGCTGCACGCAGTTTGAGGTTCTTTCTACCCAATCCTGCTTCCCTCCTCTCTTTCACAGGTGCCAGCCCTGAACTATGGGTTGAAGGCTTTTCCGTGCACTTAATTGCTATTTTGATATTATAAATATGTAAATTTCTTTCTTTATAAACATCAATGAGTGTGAAATAGATATCCAGGTTACTTAGTCCATAGATAATCCCCTCATGTTTAAAGGAGACTAAGCCTCTACAGGATTACCCCAAATCTGTGCCATTGAGCACCTGGCAAAAGTGATGACCTGTAAGACGAAGTTTCCTTGGGGCAGGCCCTAAAACTAGAAAACCTAGCTTCATTGCTGCACCAGGAATATCTCACATTCTGTCTAGATACTCAGTATTTCTTGCCTCCATTCCATTGACCTGAGACTTGATTAGAAAATTCTGTTCATATAAAAGATAGTGGTTGGGCACATTGTTTCCTACCCACTGGTGCCACCTGTGACTGAAATGCTGGGCTAGGAGGCACCAACTCCATGTACTGCACCTGCCATCCCTGCTGCCGGAGCTGAGGAGCCAGCCACTTCTTTACAGATAGGAGAGCTGACTCCTAGTAGAACCACAGAGCATACAGCAGAGGAGTGCTGGTACCTGAGTGCTGACAGGCCAAGGAAAGTGCCATGTGACCCTGGTGATAAGGGCACCAGAGAAGGGACTAGAGCACCGCGACAAAGCAGGATGGGTCATAATCCTGCTGGACGGCGCTTCTCCCTTCCTCTCTGCCCTATGCTTCCCCAGCCCTTAGGTAACCAGGGCTCGTCCTGTCACTCAGCAAGCTTTTTGGGGCATCTACTCTCTTGCCTTTGGGATACTGCACCAAGTATTGAGGATAAAATAATGTGTAAGATATAGTTTCTGACCTTGGGAAACTCACAGTCTAGACAAGTACTGAAATGTAAATAAGCAACCCGCTAGTGGCCCTGGACCTCCCTCTGTGATACTCTCATTAAGCCTCACCTAATGCATCATGTGGGTGTGGACACCTTTAGTTTATATGCCTCCCCGCCTTTGTGTTCTGGCCTCCAAGCATTGATCTCACATTACTCTCATGTTATAGATTAGGGAACAAAGGATCCACCTTTCACTAGGCACCTACTAATTCTTAATTTGCTTGTTAGAAAATGAGATCTGAAAAGCTATAGGGAAATAATTCAGGGCGAATGGAATGCTTCCCAGAAAATATTAAGTACTAATAAATCAGCAACAGCCTACTCCTAGGCTGTTATTCTTTGCAGGTAGGGTTAGTTTTTGGCAGGGAGACCAGTGCCCTATGTATAGCAGAGGAGTATTTTCCATCAGGAAAGCATGTCTTATAAAAAAACATCTGGTCATGTTGTGGGCACCTGTCAGTCACCATGAGGTTCTGATAGACTGAAATTTAGAAATTGCTTCTATTGCATATGCGTGCTTTACAGGACTATGATATCAAAGACTATTTAGATTAAAACTGCTAGAGTGAGACAACTTACTAGCATCCACTTCTGTTACCACGATTGGTTTGGAGAATTGAATTTGGAAGCCCCAGGGACAATCATCAGTTCCTTTGAAGAGCCTTAGGGTTCGCTCTCGAACTATAGAGGAAGCAAAGAGGACATCCTTTTGAGTTCATCTTTAAGTACCATAATTATGATTATAAAAATGTCTAGTATTTACTGCTTGTTTATTGTATGCCAGGCCTAAATAAAAATGTTTTAAACACTTTACAAATATTATCTAATTTAATCTTCTGATTAACCTATTATTATATTTTTGGAGAGGAGGAAACTGAGGCACAGGGTGAGGAAGAGACCCTGCTGACGACTCTGAGGCAGAATGACTCCCAAAAGGCAGCTGAGCCTTACAGGCCTGTCACTCAGATCTGGCAATAGTGGGACATTTATTTCAAGGTAGAAATAAGAAAACAGAATTCTTAGCTGTACATTTAGGTCTTATAGAAATCCAAGAGTGCTGAACAACTGAGCTTCTCAGAAAGAAACAGAAAAAGCTGAGCCTTGTAGAAATTGTAACTGTAAAGTTGTGATGGCTTCAAGGTGGAGAGTTCCATAGACTTCACAGTAAGAATCCACGGATTTCTACATTAGTCCACGGATTTTTACTTAATGTGGCTCAGCCACTTCTCAGTCTGCTTTTCCATGTATCTTGTCCCCTTTCCTTATGCTACCTCATACAGTCTTGTCTGTGTGTGTGTGTGTGTGCATGCGCACATGTGTGTGTATACATTTGTTAATATCTATACTAATAAAAGGGTAATATGCTAATTAGAATGGACATCTTCTGGACGTCCTTCCGGACAAAGCCACAGTGGCAGGGGCCAAGGCAGAGGTGGTTAGGGGCAACCAGGCAGTCAAGTGGTTAGGATCCAGTGGTCCCAGATTGTGAGAGAGATGTCTGGCAGTCAGAGATCCCCCGACGGGTTCCAGATTGGAGAGGGTGCAGGTTGGGCTGAGGAACACCCCTCCCCCATCCCCATGCATGAATTTTGTGCACCTGGCCTCTAGTCTTTAACATGTTAAGTGGGGAAGTTAAAAATTATTTCTACAAAGGTCAGAAGTAGTTTCCAATTTTCCTTTTTGCCCTGTCAGTCACTGGTGACTGACACTATGCTTTCCATCCAGAAGACAAAACAGGCTGGGTGCTTAATGTGCTAATAAAGAAAGAATCATAACAAAATATGATAAACTTCCTGAGCCTCAGAAGTGAATTATTAGTAATAGCCCTGTTATAAGTCCCTGAGGTAATTAATTACAAAATAAGAATGTGCTTATTTATTAATAAGGGCAAGGTAAATTATCATCTTAAAATTATAATTTACTAGAATAGCCTTTCATTAAAAAATAGGAATAGATTAGACTTACTGTATTTTTGCATCTCACTTCTCATTTTACAGATAGATTTATATCTTTCTCTGGGTTGGATATCAAGAACATTTCGGCTTTGCAGGGTTGCATCCTCTTTAGGTGGCATATTTAAAGGTTGTTACAGAATGTGCTATGTAGACAAAATATGGATAGAACTAGAAGCAATCAAGAGGTCAAAGAAAATCCTGAGAATTTAAGATGACTTAGCAGTTATACTTTGAGTGGGGAAGGACCTTAGTCCAGCTTTCTACTTTATGGGGAATCTCTTCCTTGTCATCTCTGACAGTTGCTCTAGGTGGGTGAGTCCCTAGTCTTTGGGAGATATATTATCTATATATATAAAAGACTACTATGCAAAGTGTCCCCTCGGGAGTTTGACCGGGAGACTGGAAAGTTGATCGCTCGCTATGATGTGTGCTGACCACCAGAGGGCAGTGCAGAATGAATGAAGGCCCTGGCTGGCAGCCAGAAGGCCCCGATCGGCCCTGGCCTAGGGACTAATTTCATGCACCGGGCCTCTAATTATTACATATTTACATTGTATTTTTCAGAATTTGTAAGAAGATATGCCATTATTTTAATAAAACTCCTCCCAGATATTCTGAGGTAAATCAATACTTTTAAAAAATTCAGTTTCCTATAAGAAATGACAAGGACAGTAAAAGATTAGTCAATCTGTGTACAAATGTGATTGGATGTGACCATCTCCCTGGTCAGCTAGGGAATAAAAATATCTGATAACAACAAGGAAGCAAGCATCTCTGTCTTTAACAGTTCCCTGTAGCCTAATAGCAGAAGTCTTTCACAAACATTTACTGAGTATCTACTATGTGCCCAGGCGTTTTCCTATGCATCAGGACTGTAGTGGTGAAGACAGACAAGAGACTTTTTTCTCATGGAGTTTACATGATAAACACTGGTTGCCAAAATTGGCAAACAAAGACAGGAAAGATAAAGTCTCTTCATGTGGATTCCTGAAGGAATGTTGTCTTTCCAAAATGCCTGGGAAAAATACTGTTTTTCTGTTGTTGAAAGCAGCATCTGGAAAAGCATACCAAGTTGCCGTGAAGGTATTGGTATATTCCAGCTCTAAAATTATGCCCTCTGCTCTATTCTATGCTCCTGGGAAGATCTCTATCATTTGTTAGTACATTTCCCTTGTGGCAGTCATTTTACATGTTTGTTTGGGCTGCCAGTTACTGGACTTCAATATAACTTAAGAAGCAGAACTGGGAAATTTAAAGCTACAGAAATGTATATTTTAGCAGTCTGCAATAGGCTGGTAGCTAATCAGGGCAAAAAGGAAAATCGGAAACTATTTCTGACCTTTGTAGAAATAATTTTTAACTTCCCCACTTGTCAAAACTTCTTGCTCCCTATAGGTTATCCTCTTGATACTGTCTTCTGCTTTTGACATATTGATTACCCAACAGATATTTGTTTAATGAAGTATTTTTTACCATTGATTTAAATCAGATTGTTTGTTGTTTTTCCATATAACATGAAATTGTTAAGATATAAACAATTCAATAAAATCTTTAACTGGTGAACTCAACTGTAGCAGTCTCCTGTGGGAGAAAAGACAATCAAAATGTTTTACAACATGTCCCCTGCCCCCACCCCCCATTCAGAAGGCAATTTTTTCATATTTTAAGATTTATAGTCCTGGTTTCCCTTGCCACTGTCTGGTGGGTAATGTATGACACATCTGCCGAAAAGCTACAAATAAATGCCATTGTCTTTTTCAGGGACTGTGTGGGCTCATCTTCAAGTAGTTTATCCCCTCAAATAACACTACTTTGGCATCATCTTGTTAAATGTGAAAGTTAAAATACCCTAACTTTTTCTTGTGGCTCCAGCAATAGAATTTTGTAGTGATCCAGACATTTGTTTATCTATTTCTCCAACTTATGGAAGAGCTTTTTTAGGAGATAACGAATTGGATATTTTTAAGGCGTAACATTTATTCTCACAAAATACATGTTGGTAGATACAAATTAGTATCGCAACATCTTAAAATACCATTCGATTAATAAAGATGCTTTTCAGTTTAAAAATGATTGGTTTTATCTACAAATCACCTTTCCTCCCAATCTCAATCTTCTTTATTGATCTCTCAATATCACATAGTTAAGAAAATAAGCACTTTATATATGTAACACTTCAAGTCTTCATAACAATCAGCACAACTAGCACATTCTTATGTTTCAGACTATAGACATGACAATATCAAATGCATATTTCATATATGTTAATAAAACAGGACTAGACCTATGTATATATATAAAAGGCTAATATGCCAACTGCCCTCTCAGGAGTTTGATCGAGAGTTCGATCACTTGCTATGACATGCGCTGACCACCAGGGGTTGGCATGGAATGAAGGAAGGCCCTGGCTGGCAGCTGGGGGAAGGGAGTCCCCGGCTGGCAGCCAGAAGGCACCAATCGGCCCTGATTGCCGGCCAGGCCTAGGGACCCTAACCATGCATGAATTTCATGCACTGGGTCTCTAGTGTATAATAAAAAGACAATGCAGAAACAATAAAATGGTTATGTTTTGGTATTGGAGCAATAAATTATAATTTGTTACTTGCTTATACTCTCCAGTACATTTTTGAAAAATAGTATTTTTTACTTAGAGGATGAAATAGACTTGACTTGTCCTCCAGTAATCTTTACTCCAACTTTGAAATTACTTTCTATGTTTGACTGAGCTCTTAAGACAGTTTTTATTTTAATAGCTTCAGATTCTTTCACACTATTAATAAATCCATTATATATGTCTATATATTCAAGCACACATACTTCTCTCCAAATGCTACACCCAGTGTGCAAGTTTGCCGACGTCAGAGACTTGCCTGGAGCCCGGCTACAGTCTCTAAGACATACACATTCATTTTATCACAATCATAGAGTCCTTACCAGCTGCAGGTCGGGGTTTTTTACTAAGGCATCTGGGGCTGTCCTCAGGGTTCCCATCATCCCCTCGAAAAACCCAGGCTGCTGAATGGAAAATCTCCGTGTAGAAACCTTTTTCCTCAATATCAACTCGAAAGCCAAGGTCCACAGAATGGCTGTCTTCTGAGATGACTGAGGAACAGAAAAGGTGACACCAAGAATTGTGCTCTGGAAAGAAGGTGAGCACACACTGATGGCCACAGTGAAAGAACAGCCAATGAATGTGTGCAGGGCGAAGCCTGTGCTGAAGGCAGAGTATCACCTGTGAAGCAAATAGCTAAGCTGGAGAGACAATTCTCTGGGGAAGAACTTACATAATCTGAAGATATCACAAATGAAGAAGGCATTGCATGAGGACCCACACTGCAGTAATCAGCAGACTACAGATAGCATAGTAAATCATCATCATTATTATTATTATTATTATTATTATTATTTTGGTAGAAAAACTATGGGAAAATAATTGTTGTTGAGACATATATTAGTATTTAAGCATCAAGAGAATGCCACACAAGACTGAGAATAAACTTTACCATTCCTTTCAAAATTACAAGCACAAGGAAAAAAAATCATTATTGCCTCTATGCTTCAAAGAAGGTGCAGCAACATAACCATACATTCTTAGAAAAACTCACTATGGTCTTAATGTGTAGAATAAAGTTTCATCTGACAATTTCAATCCTAGCAGTTTTGGGGGTTCTGTGTATTTGGGAGTCTCTTGGATAGTGTGGAAGACTGTGCCAGTTAAGGAAAAGAAATGGCATTTTTATACTAGCTTCCAAGTGCTTCTTTGTGGCCCCATGCAGGAGTTCAAACATGAATAAAGTCCCGCCCTAAGTCTTCCAGTCTCTCAAGGGTGCAGGATTAAGAAGCTCCATTTCATAACCAAAATGTAATTTCAAAACATCACTCCTTTATGTGCATTTCTCAACTCCCCTGAAGAGGGTGGGGTTAAAGACCACAGAATGCTTCTTCAACAACAACAGCAAACACACCTCTCTTTCTATTTCTTCTCGCATACTGTAGTTGCTCCTATGCTGTCTCTTAACCATTGGACTTCTGCTGCAGGTCGGTTTGCTACAGCCCCTGGAAGAGTGGCGCTGCTCTCCTGGTTTCCTCTGGAGACTCACTCCTAATGGTTCTTGTCCTGGCCCCTACATTTCTTCCTCTGCTTCCCTAGCACTGGATTGAAGAGTGTAAATGCCAGCTGTTGTCCTGACTCCCAGAGAAGTGTAACAATAGTTTTCTAACTCCTATATTTGTTTAACTTGTGTAGAAATGGTCAGGGGTGGTTTATTCACAAAGCATAGATTCTTGCAGTCAGAAACAATGCTTGTTCTTATAGTTTGTACACCAAATAAGATTTTTATTAGTCATTTGACACTAATACACAGTTTAAACAGTTTCTGGTACATTCATGAATTTATTAATTTAATTTAAAATAAGTCTTCTGTCATGAGCAAAGTACAATTTTAGGCACAATGGAGATGGAAAGATGAGACCGATATGGATCTCAGAGGAAGTAGTGATTCTGGCTATAGGGAAAGGGTATGATTAAAGGAAGAATATCATTAGACTGGACCCTGAGGAGTGGGCAACATTTACAGGAAGATAGACATGCTATAGGGCAGTGATGGTGAACCTATGACACGCGTGTCAGAGGTAACATGTGAACTCATTTTTTTGGTTGATTTTTCTTTGTTAAATGGCATTTAAATATATAAAATAAATATCAAAAATATAAGTCTTTGTTTTACTATGGTTGCAAATATCAAAAAGTTTCTATATGTGACACGGCACCAGAGTTAAGTTAGGGTTTTTCAAAATGCTGACACGCCGAGCTCAAAAGGTTTGCCATCACTACGATAGGGGGAAATAGGTACTGGAAAGATAGACTGTGTTGACTGACTAAATATAATTTTGGTGTGTGGAAATAAAGGGGATGACATATGGGAATATTACATATTAACAAAGTTGGAATGTAAATGATATGAGAATTTTGTGAGATATCTTATTTATTGAAATAAAATTATGAACTCTTTAGAATAGAATACTTTAACTCAGGATATGGGATGCCATCTTCCATGCATAATACTTCAAAATATTTTAAGGGTTTTTTTTTGGCATTTATTTTTGAATAAGTCTGAGTGTGACATTTGACTTTAGATGGTAGGAAATGTCAACCCCAAATCTCTATATATGAAAGCCTAATATACAAAGTGTCCCTTCAGGAGTTTGACTGATTGGGAGTTTGATTGCTCACTATGATGTGCACTGACCACCAGGGGGCGGTGTGAAATGAAGAAAGGCCCTGGCTGGCAGCCGGCAGCCCCTAGGGACCCTACCCATGCACAAACTTTGTGCACTGGGCCTCTGGTATTATCATAATTTACTGACTCATCTTTTTGAGCTTTAAGTCTAAATCCAAGATGCTTTCATACATAGCAGTTGCTAAAGTTACAGAAGCCCCAAAGGCATTTAAAGCATCTTCCCTTATTTGGTTTATCTTCTATATACTTGGCCTTAAATATTCAGTTACATTTTAATATTTATGACTGTAATGTACATACATTCCTGGGCCCCTTGACTTAATGTTATTTTATTTTGTTTTTTTCTGAGGAGTAGCTGTCCACGGTGGCTATGTAATCATCCCCTATTATGTTATGGTCTGAGGATGGGCCTTTAAATTATAGTGATCTTTGTTTTTAACAGCATGCATAGGACTATTAAAATAGCTCACTTATTTACAAGCAGATTTGATTATGTGGATGAGCAGTTCCCTGTTCATTCAGTTACCAAGACAGAGCTAATCAGCATCCTTTTACATAAACTGAGACATAGTACCTGTGTTAAAGTCCAGTGAAGCAGCAAGCCACACACCTGCTGCAGCTCTGAACTGCTGGATTTCTCAACAACTGTCCCTGGGGACCTTTGAGCCACGTAGCAAACATACTCAAATGTGACTTTGTCACCAAAATTTGGCTTGCTAGATGAGCTTTTTAATAAATGAAACAGTAACACAATGAGCTTTTAATTATGTTGGCATTACTTATTTTTGATATCAGAATAAAAAAATATAAAATACTTAGCTCAGTTCCAGGTGTCCTTAGACATTCTCATACCTCATTCATTCCACGGTTCTACTTGAGGATAATAAAAACTAGTACCTGATTAAGGGAGACCCTGTTTGGACTTCCCCCGAGAGAGACCATGATCAGATTGGAATGATCCAACCAGAAGCAGTGAGTCGTTGTGTTCAGTGGCATAGACTCTGGTCAAGGTGTCTGGGTTTGAACCACCAACTATGGCGAAGTGACATTGGGCAAGTCACTTCTCCTCTCCATGACTCAGATTCCTCATCTGGTAAAGTTAGGATCAAAATATAGTACTTAGCTCATAGTGCTTTTGGGAGAATTAATAAGCTATCGTGTTATAAAACTTGGAAGAATAAGCACAATGTAATTTTTAGCTCTTATTATTAGAAATTAAAGTTCTTTTTTGCCTGCCTTCCTTTCCTTCTCTGTCTCCCCACCCCACACTTCGGCTTTCTTATTTCTATGCAAACTAATGTTTGAAAATACATTTCCATAATAATTTTTACAGCTGAACTAAGAAAAATGCTCTCAAGTAGCCTCACACAATCAGACCCAAATTCTTACCACAGCTGTTGGTGACACTGGAGTCATTTGAGATTCTGAAAATCAGAGCCTGCAGGCCCTTCTGACTTCAGTTTGCAGCCTTCAGGTTATTGACCTGGTGAGCCTTAGTCAGCACTCCCACAGCCTAGAAGGATTGATCAGCTGTGCCCACATACGTAACCATGTCATTCCTAATGTCTTTTCCAGTTATCATGGAGCAAGTCAGAGCTGAATGAGATTAACAGACGGAACAGCACCAGCTGTAATGATGCTCGATAAAGCTGTCAGGTTCCAAGTCACGGATTAGTAGCATATCCTGACTCTATAAATGAGATAAAATTTAAACCACACATTAAACCGTGCTAGCTCCAGCAGCTCTTAGTGAAGTGCAGTCTCTCTTAAAAAGCTGCTGAAGAAATACAGCATGCCTCTTGTGTCTGGGGCTTAGATAAACTACAAAATAAAATAGCAGATGGTTCCATTCCCTTAAGTCCAATGTAAAACAAATTGTTAGTATAAATTTCCATTAAAAACAGAAGTCACCTCAAAGAAAACACAATCATTGTTTTTAATCAAAACGATTGTGTAATTTTGGCCTGAAATTTGAATTGGTACAAGTTATCCAGCTGATTCCAAGGGTTGTGTCAAGTGGGCACTGGTAAATGTTTAACATTAGAGTTCCCAAAAGGAACCTAAAAAAGCCCTGATGTGTAGTGCTTGCCAGTTTCTGTGGTACATACTCCCACCATGGCCCATTTCAAGCTCCCAACCCGATGCTACTGAATTGCAGTGTCAGAAAAAACAAACAAACAAAAAAACCAAAACGTGCACAGTTGGCTACCATGAACCACTGTGGGCTGATTCTCGCACACCTACACTTGTGTCAAGAAATGCAGAACGGACATGAATGTCTAAGAGCACTAGTAGAGGCAGACTTGTCCATAAAACTAAGGAGGAAATGGACTTGGACTGAAAGGTCCAGAAAGCTGACAGACTCTGTGAACTAGAAAGAACTGGTCCTGTGGGAGGAAGAGCTGAGAACGTGGGAAAATGGTCCCTTTCTTTAGGCCACGAGAAGATCCTCTGTGGTTGATCAGACTGAACAAAGCTTCCGTTCAGTCTTTTTAGTTTAGATCAATCATGAATAGTTCCAGGTAATAATGGAAGCTATTGCCATGAGCAATAAAAATGTTTTCTCCATGTAAAATGTTGCTTCTGTTTTTCTTATTTATCATCAAACTGTTCTACTCTCAGATTCTTCCTTCTTAGTTTTTAAGATGGCTTAGTTCTGATTACTGTAGGGTTGATTAATTGTTGAACACTGATAATTTTGTTTACATGGGTTTAGAGGTATGAGCTGCAGTTGAATTGTCTGCAGTACAAAGGAGAGGAATTTCAAGGGCCCAAGGAAAAACCCAGAAAGGAGGAAATAGAACTCAAGGAGTACGGGTATCATATGAGGAAAGCAGGGCTGTATGAGGGCCTCCTTGGGTGCCTGAAGCGCAGCACAGGGGCCTTTGAAGTACTGTGGCATCTAAAGAAGGTTTCAGAGTTGTTTGCTGTGGAGTGTGTGATGTATGTCCTCCTGAGCCTCTCCTTGGATGTCGTTAGGAGATCTCTGTCTCTCTGACTATTGCTTTTGTGTAACTATATTCTTCGGGGAGGATCCAGAATAGTAGGGCTAGTGGCTATTGTATCTGACTTACATGCATAACACAAGATTTGTATTCTTCGGTGAAAAGACAGAAAATTTCCAGATTGCAAGTTTATCAAACAAAAGGTCAAGAAACACTTGAATGACACTTCAAGGATATTGCTGTCTAGGAAATCCAGTTTGGGGAATCCATCTTAGTGAAATTTCAACTACTTAGTCACCTCAAGACTGAGGAAGTTTTGAGTACACTGAGAACAAAACCTCTAATTCTCGATAAAATAGACTTTGCCTTCCCCCGACTCCCCGAGACATTTCCAATGCTCTGTGGAGGGGGAGTCCTCCCTTATCTCTGAAAGCAATAAACCATTCTGTCTGCACTCTGGTGCAGTGTTGGTGATGTCTGGTCATTGCTATAATATGAAAACAGAGCACTGGGGTAGCATAGGCTGTGGCACAAAATAGATGGCACATTCAAATGAGTAATTTACAGACAACAAAAATACTACTTACAAAGTGTGGATAAGATGTAAGGAAATCAGATGTTTTATAGTAAAATTAAGACTAGTCCACTTAACACTGAAGAGGTAAGGGGAGGGAGCAGGTACCAATGACCAGAACCAGAACCACAGAAGGCAGCGTGGAGGGGCATTTTACAGCAGTGAGGTTTCTAGGGACACCAACAGCCCTTGACACACCACAGGGAGAGGTCTGAGGCAAAGTCCAATTTTATTGAGGATTAGAAGTTGGATTTAAGGCAGGTCTTTCAAAGTGAGAACTTGATTAGGACTGAGTCAGAATCACGAGTTACAGACATGGCACGGTGAGGCTTTTGAGGGTTTCAAAGAAACTGTGGACATAAATGATCTGTTGGTATTTTCTGTTGCAAATCTGATGGCTTTGGGGAAGGGTGAGTTTCTGCAACGAACAATACAAATATTTCCCTAGTCAAGAGCTTCCTGGAAAGTAAAGTTGTGTTGATAAAAGCCTTAGGATAAGGTCATGCAATGTAACCTAAGATGTGTGGGAATAGGTGGTTCTGGGCCTCAGTGTCCAAGACCTCACTCTCCTCGCTCCCTCCAGCTCCTGCTGATCTTCCCTGTTGATTAAGCCCAGCAAAATTATCCCCTTGAAATAGTCCATAGAGGTAAGACTCCTGGGGCAGGAAGTGAAAAAGCAAGTTACAGGGGCAAAGGGAAGCTATTTGCTAGTGTGGGTTTGAGAAAGTGAAATAAGTACAAACGTCCATTTTGACAGGAATGCTAGAAAACATATATGTGGATAGGTCCTAAGTCCTGTAGGTTCAGTGAGTCATTGAGTTTCTTCTGGTTTTGGAAAAGAAAGTAATTGTCTACTCACTGGATCCTTCCGTGATGTTGCTGGCGAATGAACTTCTCCCGGCTGAGCTGCTGCTTTTGCCATCTTTGAATTGCTGCCTCCTCCGGGTCCACTGGTCTATTGCTTCCTCCTGGGAACCATCACTGGCCCTTGTTCCTCTTGGAGGTAATTCCTGGGGTAACTTGAGGAGGCTATTTATTTGCAAATTCCAATCTAGATTAAACCACATTATAAAGGAAAAGGTAGAACTTCAAATATTCTAATATTTAAAACAGAGTCACTGGAGACTAGAATTAGAATAATTTCATTTACCTTCTTCATGATTCACTTTCTAAATTTGTATTGCTTAAAAAAGAAGAAATATATAATTGAAAAATCGAGTTACATAGGAAAGAGGGATCACCATGCATTGCCTCAGTTGGATTCAATTAACAGATATTTCTTGGGCAGCAGTAGTATACACAATACTATATTAATTAGTTACTCCGGAGGAGCAAAGTGCAAATAAATTCTTAATTATGTCCTCTGAATTCTCAATAAGAAGACAAGATATGATTACCTGAGTTAGTTATATGATAATCTATGATAAGTTTACTATTGAACTCAAGTCCTTTATGGTTTGACTTCCATGAATCACAAGAATAAAAATTTCATGATACTTTTCTTGCTGCATGTGTTGGTTCAAAATGAGAAAAAGAGGGGAAAAAGCCAGAGTGCATGAAAGTCTTGAAAATTTTATATTTGAATAGATAACAGTAACTTTTAAATAAATATCAATTATAACTTTAAAACTTCTGCCTTCTGTCCTCATAAGCTGAGATGCTGTGTATTAATTAAAAGAAAGAAAATTACAAATAAACTGATTGTAATACAAGCCAACTGCAAGAAAATACTGGTAACTAAAAGAGTGAAATAAAAGTATTCAAATAGCGGAGCATGTAATACCTAGAACGTAATTTGATAGGTTAGGATTGGGGAAGATTTTACTTGCTTTAACTTTTTGGTACTATATGAAAAGGTAAACATCCATTTAAAAAAGGACCAACTCTTAACCTTTACTTTTATTCTATTCCCAGGAGCAGAGGAGTTTTTAAAACTTGATCTTTATAAATTAAGCTCTAACTTATCAGTATCAAAGTTTGTTCCCAGACCTATTTAAATAATAAATAGGATATATCCATGAATAAATCATTTTCTTTATTTTAATGTATAACTATTAGTGATCGATTTGCATTATAATTTAAATTTCACTTGTCAGGGCTAAAGACACAGAAGGGAGGGAAAGTCACTATCCAGTCCTCTAATTTTCCAGAACTCTGCTGTTGACTCCTACCTCTTCCCTAGAAAGAAATAGGGCGATAGAAAAATGACATTCATTCTATAATAGTTATTACTGTTTCCACTGTAATTGAATACTTCAATCTGATAGTGAATTGAATCTATATCTAGTTTCCACTGTGCTGGCTACTTGGTCTACAGCTATGAACAAGATGGCTTTTTATCCTCTGGAACTTGACAGAGTGGTGGAACTTTGAAAAAGGCCACAGAACTGGTCTCTGGCTGTTTTTTCCAATGTCCCTGTAAGTTCCTCTATTTGTAGAGATAGAGATTCCAGATTGATTCTGAAGGCAACTATAAGATGAATAATTTTCTAATGTCAATATTTCACATTTAAAACTGATTGTTTTCTGAAATTGCTGGAGAAAAAAGAAGTCTGATGGGCCTAGGGAAGTGTGTGATGGAAATATGGCCCTGGGATGTGGTGGGAAAAGCGTTTGTCTAGGATATCTGCTTATATACTCACATGAGAAGAAAATATGGGCCCTGCAGTATGACTCATAGTTTGATTTGAGGACCGCTTCTAATGCCCACAGAATGCAAAGCACTCCCATTGTCCTGCTTGTTAGTTATGTAATCTCACCCTTGCAAAAGCGTAGAAGGTAATTTGGTCCAACCACCCTTTGTATGCTTAAAAACTTCTACAAGATTTTGAAAAAGCAGTCATTCAGTCTAAGCTTGGACACTTCCCAGAATCAAATTTGCTACCGTTTACTACTTGAATCAGCATAATGCTTGAATACATCAAGCTGGAGGAGGAGGGGTTACAGAAACAGTCTTTTGATGAATCACAGCAACATGGGGAAGCCATCGCAGCAATTGTTCACCAGATGAGACAATTTCAAAGCCTAGTGAGGTGCAATATCAGCTTTGGGAGGATTCTGACTTGAGTTACTGATCTTCTTAAGGAAGTATGTTGTGCTGGAAGAGGCAGTCCAAGGAGAGGCACATGGGAAGAATATACATCTAGGTGAGCAGGTGTCTGCTCTACAAGACACAGTGCTCTTATTGCAGGTCTGCTTCTTGAAGACCTAAATAATCATGGGCTGAGCCCAGTGATGGGATTCATTCGATTCACTTGGTATCTGAGGGTATGTTGGCACTGGGGAGCAGTCATGTAACTGATGGATCTTAGCCTGAGGGTGCTCATCTTAAGTTGGTGACTGTATAGATTTTGTGTTGTTTTCTCCGTACAATAAATTTCACATTTTATGCCAACATTTATATAATTGTCCTTTTTTATTTTTACTTTAACTTCTAAAGTTTTTAAATTCTATTTAAAAATTAGGAATAGAACAATAGCAAAGAAAAGAGGACTTCTCGAAGTTTCATTCCAAATTGCATTTTGAACAGTTAGGAATGTTACTGGCAGTATAAAAATGTTTATTTGTTCAAGATATAATTTAATATACAATGTGTCATAATGCTAACACTAAATATGAAATATTTTGGACTTACTGAGAAAAACAACAAGGGATCTTAATGAAGTGACCAAAATGGTATAGTATGGTCCCAAGATTGAAAGCAGACAGGCGGTATTATATACTTAGGAAAGAGCTTCCATCTCAGCCCTCTTGAGGGCTGGAGAGTTTCTGGGTTTTATCAATGGTTTGAGCAAGGCCAACCAATGCACAAGGGAGGTCAGAGGTCTGCTTGAGTTCAGAGGCCCCAGGGACAGCTGGGTCAGGATTAGCCATACCCATTCTGGTTTGTGTCCTTTGCTTTAATTGCTATCCCACCTGGCCTCCTGAGACATGTATACCATGCTTCTGCAACACCACAGCAAGGCTTAAAAACACATTTTTTATCACAAACACATTTTTCCTATTCTTCTAAACATGCTTAGCTTGCAAGAAGGAAAGCATTGGTAGGTTTTTTAAGAGTGGCAAAAGGCTAATGTCTCCTACAAAATTGATTTGGCAATACATCAACCTTTTAAAGAGAAATTGATTTTTTTTCTTACTTTATATTAAACTGTAGCCTTGGTAATTTTGTTATGCACTTTTATGGGTGGGGTGGTTGATATATGCTTGCCCATATTCATTTGACTCTAAAATACTCAATATATCTTCAGCAATAAAGAAAAAATATTCAAAGCAATAAAAAAGCCCTCACATTAAGACTTTCCAAAGCTCAAACATGTAAAAATGAAGTAAAGGATTCTGTATAGCACTGCACCTTTCAAAGCCTTCTGTTTCTGAGGGAAACGCAGTATGTCCATTTGGTGATAGTAAGTTTCCTTTTTATCTCCTTCAGCATTTGGCCTCATGGATGCAATGCTTTGGCACTCTGCTGCCTCCTGTGTAAAGCTGGTTAGTCCCAGGGTTATTTCATCTTGCTTACTGTATTGGTCTGCATCACTGGTCAGTGGTTTCTCAATAAGAAACAGATTATCTGCAGCACACACTGCAGGGTTGAACTCAGCAGCGTCCGGTGGAAATTTCATTTGAAAACAGGCTCCACCATGATTCTCATTTGATAGGTCTTCAAATTCTCTGTGGCGTGTAGTCTTTATCACTGGCCTTATGAGGAGCTCGTCTTTTTCAACATTTCCCCCAAAGCTGGGTGACTCTTTAAGGTGTTTTATTCCCATGGGGCAATTAGAAGCAACCATGCTTTCTTTATCATTTTGAATAATTAATCTTTGCTCTAACTCATCAGTTATTGAGGTCACGGCTGACACTTCTGTGTTGCTGGGGGCTGCCATCTCTGCATGACTTGCCTGGGACCCTGTTTGACTCCATTCCACAGAGCTGTGGCTACTGCTGTTGAGTGGGCCCCCAGCAGCAAGCCCTCCAGAGGACGCGCGGCTGAGACGTGGACACTGAGCACTCTTCGTCTCCAGTAGTTGCTGCATGTGTGTATGAGAGTCGCTGTGTGAAGTGGCTGTTGTGAAGTCTCTGCCAGTCCCCTCACCGTGCTCTTCCGCATAGCCTGCCACACACTCAGCACCGAGACCAAAGGGAAATGCATGCCCAGGGGGTTCCTTAGGTTCTGAACGTCCGCTGGCCCCGGCGGGTGGATGGGATGGAATGGACGGCTTCACAGTATTTTGACTGGGAGGGGAAGATTTGCAGTTTGAGTTCTCACCGTCGTCTGCAGGTGGAATTTTGCTGCCTTTGCCATAAATGCTGGCTGCCTTTGCTCCTGTGTGCTTCCCATTCAGAGACGATGAGGAATAAAAGCCAGAGTCTTGGCCACGTTGGGCTGGAGAGATGTTAGTGATGGTGCTTGGCAAATAATTTCTCCCTCCCGTGCTTTGCTGCCTGTCTGAGTCTGCTGTGATGTTTTCTGGGATATCGAAGTTGACTTTTCTATCCTCAAAAGGCATTTTCCTGAAGTCTGCGTTACTTAAACTTGTGGTCTTTAGGGCATCATGTGAAGTAGGAAAAACATCTCTGAGAAGAGCCTCAGCTTCAAAGAACTGTTTCTTTTGTGAGGTGTTCCAGTTAATTTTAGAGTCCTTCTGCTGAGAGAGGGCAGGTTCTAACTTGCCATCTAAGACTGAAAATAGCCTGTCAGGCTTATTCTTCCTCTCGGGGGCTGAGCACAGAGAAACCACAGCTGTGTCGGGATTCACCTCCCCCTGGACCGCAGACAGAGCAGGAGGAGAGGCGGGCAAAGGATCCGGGCTCCGATGCTTGTTTCCAAGCCGCCCCTTTCCAGGCAGCCTGGCTCCAGGCTGTGCAGAGGACCTGGGAGGTTCTTTAGTGGTGTGATCGGAGGAAACGTTTCTGGATTTAGCTGTCTTCCCCCTTCTTTTAGGATGAGTGATATTAATTATTATATTCTGTTTCTTACTCGTGTATTTAACTTTAATTCCATTCCCTACAATGCTGACTTCCAGTGAGGAGCTCTCAGTTCTGGCGGCTTCTCCTTCATATTTAGATGGAGCCTCTGATTTTATTTCTTCTATCGATATATTCCTGTACTTATAAGAGCAGCTTCTAGAAGAGTAACGTCTTGGAATATGTCTGACGGAGTAACACTGGTGACATTTGGGACATCTCTTTTTCGTTGGGAACTGTATTTCTGTTTTAGAGAAAAACCTGTTCTTGTTTGCCACTTGAATATTAAAATCCCCATATTTTACTTCTGTAATAATTTTGCCTTTTTCTTGTTGAGAGTCTTCCACTGTGTTTGGGAAATCCTGTGGAGTAATTTTTCCTGATAATGATCCTTCACAGTCATTAAACATGATCGCTGGTAAGACTTTCTTTAGTTGATGAGAAATGGATGGAGAAGAATAATCATTTTCCTTTTCCCTACTTCTTTTGCTGTCCGAGGGAGGTTGCTTCTTATCTTTAGGGAGAAAAGAGGAATTGTGCTTTCCGTTCATAGAAGCAGATGTACGCTCATCTCCGTTTCCCTTAGATTTCCCTAATGTCCTAGTTTGATGAGACACAGCCTCTGAGGTGTCTCCTTTGACCTTTTCCAGACCTTTTACATTTTTTTTGGCATGCTTGATTAGCAGGCTGAGGTTCACCTAAAGATGAAACAAGGGAAAAAGTTTCTATTCAGTGTATATCTTTTGTAAATATTTTGAATAACATTTCATGGTATTCCCCACAACATGCATTTCTAATAAACATCTTATTTTAAATCAATTATCTTAGAATACAAAATATCACTTGGTCTGGGATTACGAGAGGGTGCAGGCCTGGCTGAGGGACCTCACCTGTGCATGAATCCATGCACTGGGCCTCTAGTAGTTTTAATAAATTGATTAAGCTAAAAATTTTAAAGGATTATTTATAAATTTACTTGAAATGTTCTTAATCTAAATGTGATTTATATATATACTTATATATTTTTATTTATTTATTTATTTTTTTATTTTTATTTTTTCCTCCCCCACTCATGCTCTCATCTCCTTACTTATATATTTTTAATATAAAATATAAAAACAAACATATAAACACTTACATGAAGAGTAAATACATAACTTCTCTTCAACAGAAAAAAGAAAAATATTCCACTAAAATTTGGCTAGAGGTGGCATAGAAGTATGGGCTACAGAAAAAAATTGCTGTTTCAGAATCAAATAAAGAACCATAGGTTTAGGAATCATAACTTCCCTATATATTTTTAATATAAAATATAAAAACAAACATATAAACACTTACATGAAGAGTAAATACATAACTTCTCTTCAACAGAAAAAAGAAAAATATTCCACTAAAATTTGGCTAGAGGTGGCATAGAAGTATGGGCTACAGAAAAAAATTGCTGTTTCAGAATCAAATAAAGAACCATAGGTTTAGGAATCATAACTTCCCAAACTTCAGGAGAGGTATACAGACTTCTGATTTGACAATGTGCTCTCCGAGAGCACTGGACTTCCGTGAAGAGTCTAACCGTTCCCATCTGCCACTCTTCTAGTCTGAGGGAATGGCCTTTTTCACTGCAGGTACTGAAACAGTGCCCAGCAGGCCTGGCTATTACCTTTAGCTCTCATGTGGAAGTTCTGGGAGAAAAGACATGGAAACATCTCTCTCCAAAACCCATTTACAATACAGCATGTACATGAGAGCAATTTATAGACCGATAGAACTGCCTTCCAGAACTGTAGATTACAGTATATTCTTAAAAAGCACTCTCAGGCCAAGAGCAGTTCACTTTGTAGCCCTTTACATTTTTATAATTTACTAGAGGCCTGTTCCACGAAGAGGCCTTCCTTTCCCCTGGCTACTGGCACCGGTTTTCCCCCGGCACCCGGCACTCAGCACCCGGCACCCAGGCCTTCGCTCTGTTTGGGCTCCAGCTGGAGCCGGCCCCGGGACCGTGAGGCTTTTGCTGCTCCACCGGCCTATGTATGCAAATTAACCGCAATCTTTGGTATGTTAATTTGCATACTCTCCTGATTGGCTGGTTAGCATAGCGAAGGTATGGTCAATTTACATGTTTGTCTATTCTTAGGTAAGATAGCTGTTTTCAATTGACGGCACATCAATTTTTGCAAGTAAGAAGATAGAACTGAGATAGTTACATGGCAATGTACTAAACACAGTTCCTAAGAATAGAGGTCTTAATAGCCTTTGTCTCAAATATTTTATTTACATTTTTATTCACAATACTAATATCATTAATAATCCATGCAGAAATATATACATAATAACAATTGACCAAACTTCTAAATACTTTTATAACATTTAAAATAGTTTTATAACATTTATATGCATTTATCTTTCTACTTTTGTAAACATTCCTGTGATAAAGAAGAAAGTACATAAGTTGGGTAATTCATATTTACATGCTTATAAAACCAGTGAATTGGACATACATATTGTGGGATTCAAGAGTTTCCATTTTCTATAGGCTTTTCTTCTTTTTCTCCTCATTTTTGGGAGCTGAGGGTCTGCAGCTTTCACCGTCCTTTGAAAGCATAAAATTTGAAATTATTTTCCACTCAAAATTACTAATTTAACTCATTGCAACTTGACAGCATCATACCTTTCGCTGATATCCCACAGTGTTCTCCTTTGAATACATTTTATCAAAATTATACTTTTCCTTTTTGTGTAATTCTGCCCCCTCCAAACTATTTAGTACATTATTTTATACCACATGAACATTCAAACATGTATTTTCATATGTGTAGACATGTAGGATGCAAATTATAAAATGACATTCTGTTCAATTAATTATTTATATTGCAAATTTTCTTGGCCTAATAGAAATACCTAATTTTTTATGAAGTTGAACCAAATTTAATATCAGATTGTGGCCATGCTAAATTAAGTAAAGCAGGAGATAGATTGCCTTAATTACATTATTATCATATATACTATGTTTAAATATAGAATTAAATGCATATGATTTATTGCAAAATAAAGGATTATTTTCTGTGTTGATGATGTCTTAGCCAACAGAAAGTGTTTTGGGGGAGATACTTAGGGGAAAGGCAGTCTCCTAACTTTCCAGATATCACATCCATTAGGGACCTGCCCATGCATAGAGCTAAGCCTGATTCCATTGCTTTACTTTTAGAAGATTGAACTGTCTGCAAAGATGCAAAGAGAATGCTTCCACTGAAATAGTTTGTTGTGCGTGCATTTTTGGCAGTCTGTGTCTTTACATTCCTCAGCAGAGAAGCTCAACTTTTATCTGCTGTACTGTAAATCAAATAAAATGGACTGGTTTGTGGCCAGTTTTTGCAAAAATATATGTAAATTCTTAACTCATCTCAGTTCAAAATCTCCTACATTATAGTAAGTGTTTATTTCAAATCCTTTTTCCTCCACAGATTCTCATTCTCATAACTCTCTGAAAATTGTTTTTTTCTTTAGGCTACCTTTCTTATTGAGAGCAATTGCCACTCTTCTGGCATCTTCCAATTATCCTTTCTATTTACGCCTCCAAAAGGCACAATTAATTCCTATGGCTGACTAAGCAAGCAATAATCCATTTTCTTAGAAGGCCAAATTGGAGGTTGGATTTGGGAGAGGATTACAAACATATAATTAATATTTTACTTTTTTCTTGAATCCCTGTCTTACACATATTGGATTTTCTAATTTAACATATAGTTCAAAGGCACTTGACTAGGTTATCAATTGCTTCTCTACGGCCCCACATAGTTTGAATAGCAAAATGCAGCCTCTGGCTGTGTGTGTTTAATGGAGAGTACCCTGGACTTTGCCTCAAAAGCTCTGGGTTGTTGTCTGGCTCTGCTGCTTACTGGGCCAATGTTGTAGTCTCTGGTAGGATGAATTGCTTCTGCCTCTAAGATGGAATTATGAATTCCGCCTTACAGATTCACCTTGAAGAAACACAACTGACATTATATTATAGATGACTCCAGTCAATGACATCTGTTATTCTTACTTTGTGTTAGAGTATAATGAATCTAGTAGCATACATGCAAACATAGAGTTGAGCAGTGCCTGACTTTGAGAGACTATCCATCATATCAGAGCTGCGAGTGAGTGCTTAGATAAAGCTAATCAAACCATAACCTTTTTGACACCCTCCCCCTCCCCCCCAATCTAGACATTTTCAAGATCAGCTCATCCAAAGTTCTCTTTTTAGAAAAACTGATACTCAGAGAGTCCTAGCGTCCTGTACTGCACTAATATTGGCAAATTCGGGGCGAGAACCCAGGCTGTTAGGAATTAAGCAAACTTCCTCTTTGAACCAACACTTCCGGTATTGATGCCCTGGGACTGTTTCTGATCACACAGAACAAATTTAAATCAGTTTGCACTTTAGCTACAAAAGAGCACTACCGTTTTGTTTCAGGAAATAGAAGGTGCTGTCAAATATGTACCTGGTATCTAGCACAGTGTCTGACACCTAGTAGGCATCTCAACTAATAAATATGCATGAATAAATGGTTAGGCAGCGCCAATCTCTATCTAATTATGTTTTCAAAATGTGCCCTCTTGTATTTCTAAATACATTTTCCCTTTTACTGTGTATTAATTAGTTTATAGTTAAGAAAGGCATATAAACATTTCTTGACCCCTCCATCAATTATCACACGCCTATGATCACCTTTTCAGCAACACATCTTGAAGGAGTCATCTATACATGTTGACACCACCTCTCCTCACATTCTTTTCCCAAACCCACTCCACGAAGTATATTATCCTCACCACTCCACTCAGAGCACTCTTGCCCCCAATCAACAGTGACATCTGTATAGCCAAAGCCAACAGTCGCTTCTCTATAGTCAACTTAAGTCACACTTTCAGCAGAATTTGATGGAACTAATCACTCCATTCCTCCTGACTCTACTCCTTCCTTTAGATTCCCTGATGCCACACTCTCCCGGTCCTTGTCTTGCTCCACTGGCTTTTCCCTCTTAAATGCTTTTGCTGGATCTTCTCTTGCTCAATCTCTAATCTTTGGCATCTTCAGGGTTCTTTTTGCTTCTTTATCAACTCTCTCCCCAGGAAATCCTACTCATTTTCGTGGTTTTAAAATAATCTATACAAATGATTCTAAATTCATAATTCTACCCCAGACTTCCTCCCCAAAGTCTAGGCTTAAACATCCAACTCTTAAGTTGACATATCTATTTGGATGTCCAATTGTAATCTCCTATTATCATGCCACAAACGGAGCTCTTGAGGTTCCCTGCCTTCTCCAATTCTTTTTTTTAAAAATATTTTATTGATTTTTTACAGAGAGGAAGGGAGAGAGATAGTTAGAAACATCGATGAGAGAGAAACATCGATCAGCTGCCTCCTGCACATCTCCTACTGGGGATGTGCCCGCAACCCAGGTACATGCCCTTGACTGGAATCGAACCTGGGACCTTTCAGTCCGCAGGCCGACGCTCTATCCACTGAGCCAAACCGGTTTTGGCTCCAATTCTTTACTTCCCAGAATCTTTCCAATCTCAGTTGACAGTTTCACCATCTATGTCACTCAAATCAAACACCTAGATGTCATCCTTGATGTTTCTCTTTAACTTACTTTCCTAATCAAACCCATCAGCAAGTTTTCTGTGTTCTGTTTTTAAATATCTATCCTTAGTATGTCTACTTCTTTTTCCTCCATTACTAATACCCCATTGTAAGCCTCTCCCTCCCTCTCTCTCTATATGTGTGTGTGTGTGTGTGTGTGTGTGTGTGTGTGTACAGGTACATGTACATAGGTAGCCCAGACTTTAAAAATATATATTTATATATTCATAATATATTTATATGTTTAAATATATATTCACTTATATTTTAAATCTGGACAACAGCAATGGCTTTCTAACTGATTTCCTACTTATATTTACACCCTTTGAGATTATTTACATAGGAGCCAGATTTTAAAAATATATAAATTAAATCGTGCTATCCCCTTTTTATAACCCTCTAATGGACTCTCATTATACTTTGACAAACTTCTAAGCACTTTAGCTTTTTTTTACACATATGTATAAAGTATAATTTTATCCACCAGTAAAATACATCACCACTAGGCCTTAGAATATCCATTAAGGCACCAATTTCACCACAGATTTCCTGGATTTATATTTTTCATAAATGTTTATTTGTTCTGTGCAAAATTGTCAATAAAGCTCAGGAAGGTTAGCACGATTGCAGTTATATATCAGCCAAATTCTATCGCATTTGAGACCCTTATATTGGATTTTATGGAGTTTTTTTTTTTTTTGTCTAACTGAGCTTTGACTCGTTACTATAATTCACAGAAGAATGAGAAAAAAAATGTAAACAGGAAATACTAACAATATCCTTCCACTGCAGAATTACATATTGATAGCATTATTCTGAGAAACCTGTTAGAATGTAAAGGTGCTTTTTTTTTTTTTTTAAAGATATTAGGAAATTTTACTAGTGCCACTTTTTTTGACAAATTACTTAAAAATTCTCTATTATATTGCTAAGCTGAAATGTTTTCCTTGGAACATTCAAAGGGAATGTTCTGTTATCAGTAAAAAAAAGAAAAACTCATAAAAGGGTAAATAATGATCACTATTAAAATTCTAGAGGAGACCAAATACAAAATTAATTCAGAAGGTTACATGCTTAACTTCCAGGGTAGCATTTAATGCCCACAGGCTCCAGTTTTCTGTAGGATTTGAAAGCAACTTTTGCCTATTTTTTATAATTTCACTTTCATGATTTTATCACAAAGCCCTTGTTCTTTGCACTAAACTTTTAGAAGAAATTTGTACGCGTAAAACAAATTATGAAAAGTTTAAGTTTAAAAATATTTGAAGAGAAGAAAATTGTAAATTTTCTATTTACTTTTGAAAGTATGTACAAACTTATCTATTGTAATTCCTGATTTTGAATAGCATGTATTCTTAAACTACTTTGTTTTTTGTCTAAAAATTTTAAAAAAGTATGTATAAGCATAAAAAGAGTTACGTTGGAAAACAGCTGTTTCAATAATACCTGTACATCACTTTAGACTTGCATTATGGGGATGCAAGGATCAAACTTAACGAACTTGGCTGTTAGGCAGTAGTTATTAATAAAAATTTCACAGTGTCTGGAAACTGAACAGCTTTTGTTTTCATATCTATATTTATATACTTTTATATTGGTAAAATATTAGACTCTATTAAGTTAAAATTTTAAAATAGAAACATCCAAATCTCATGTCCAATGAAACCAACTTTTCCTCTCCCTGAGCATACAATGGGTACTTGTTGAATCTCACAGAGAATATTCATGTCTTTCTGCAAAAGAGATTCTTGGTAATCATTGTAGCATTAATCTGTTAATGTGTAGAGTTCATAATAATAAATATAAAAGCACTTTATTACAATAATAATAATATAGGTATCACCTGAGGATATTTTTTTCCATTGCTTTTCAGGGAGAGTGGAAGAGAGGGAGGGAGGTGAAGAGAGAGAGAGGGGGAAAGGGAGAGAGAGAGAGAGAGAGAGAAAGAGAAAGAGAGACATCGTTGTGAGACACATCAATTGGTTATCTCCCACACCAGCCCTTATTGGGGGCAGGGAGTGAACCTGCAGCCCAGGTAAGTGCCCTTGACTGGGAATTGAACCAAACACCTTTTGGTGCACAGGCCTGATGCTCTAACCACTTAAAAACACTGGCCAAGGCCAAAAGAATTATCTTTAAACATAAGCTTTGGAGGAATGCCATCACCCCATTTTACCTATAATGGATCAAACATAATTAAGTAGATGAGGGTAATCCTGAAAGAACAAGAAGCCCACCTTAGCCCTAACCGGTTTGGCTCAGTGGATAGAGCATCCGCCTGCAGATTCAAGGGTCCCAGGTTCGATTCTGGTCAAGGGCATGTACCTTGGTTGTGGGCACATCCCCAGTAGGGAGTGTTAGGAGGCAGCTGATTGATGTTTCTCTCTATCCCTCTTCCTTCCTCTCTGTAAAAATTCAATAAAACATATTTTAAAAAAAGAAGCCTACCTTATACAAGTTAAATCAGAATCCCTGCAGAAATAAAATGCAGACAGAAGAGAGCATTGTGCAGTGGGGATATATTGTTGTTATTATTACTATTATTATTAACGTTTTAAAAACTAGGTAAAAATTTGTATTCGTAAACCAAAAAAAAATTAAACTCAGTATTTAATAAAGTTTGATAATTAAGTAATACCAGTAAAGAAAGGGAAGGATGAACTAAAAATGAGAATCTCTTCCACTTCCAGAAGTTTCTACCCTTTGCTGGACAGGATGGGTAGGTGTGAGGTCCGCTACCCAACCCCTCATTTCTCATCAGAGGAGCTGAGAGTGATGTACCGTAATGACTTGCCCAAGGAAACAGTGCGGAGATACTGCTTCACTTCTCTCTCCGTCGCGGCAAGCCTCTGAAAGTGAGGAATGTTTTTTGCTGACGATTTTTGCAAGGTTTTTATTGCTTTACTGTGTTAAGTGTAGAGGCTCTTCCTGACATGCTTCCAGAACTCTCCCTTTCCCCTCTCACTTTCTTATAGAATGATTCAAGGGAAAGGAGCAAACTTCTAACGGAGAAAGCCCAGCGTACTTCTCACAGAGGCAGCCTTAAGAATTTGCTGCTGTGCTTGCTATGGGCTCAAGATTCTGAGCTGAACTTAACATAAAAATACATGTAATACAAACGAAAGGAATTTATAGGTTAGCACAGGGATTTACTCAAACGTGAGAGTGCTTAGGCCTCACTGAGCAGCTTGCTAAAAATGTAGATTCAGATTCTGAGGTGGGGCCCAGGAACAGGCATTTTTAATAAGCACCCAACCTCCAACCCCGTGTGACTGATTTCAGAAACACTGTTGAAACAGATACAGTTTTGAACAGGTGGAATGGAGGCTCATTCAGAAAATATTTAACGGCCTAAGGCAGTCTTGAGGAGGCCTGCAATGAATTCCGTTTCTTTTCACTCCATATTCCTCCCCTCCCAGATAGTACCTCTAAGGTTTAAATTTTTATTTTATTTTTTAAAATTTTATTATTATTTTGGTTTAAGCACAAAAGATTCTCTTTCTATATCAGCAAACTTACAGAGAAAAAACCAACCTTCTTGAGAGATAATTTTTTATATTTTCTCATCCCAGTGTAGAGGCTCTACCCAAATTGTGTCCTAAATCAACCTTAGGTGTTAATTCCTCAATATCTTGCTTTCATCTGCCCTAAACATGACTTAGATAAAGACTTAGCAAGTCACATTAGTAGGCCAGGGCCACTAGAGTAAGAAAGATATGTCATATTTTCACTGCTTGTCTCCCTGTGTTCACTTTGGGCTTCTCAGAGTGAAAGGGTTCCTGTGCTGTATTTTGGGTTTGACTTTGTCTGTAAGCTAAAAGGGTCGGCAAGTACATGGGATTAGTGTGGAAGTGTTCAGAAGGAGGATGTCTGGTGGGGTGAGTGAGGCACCTAAACCTTGACCTTCCTTTTTATGATGGGGCATCCATCATCTTCTTAGAGCTCCAGTATTTATAGGGCATTGTTCTTTATGAAGCACCCCCAGTGAGACTATCTTCCTGGGATTAAACCAGATCCCTGGCTGCTCCATTGTTAACCTGATTTGAGCCAACAGAACTCCAGAGGGAATTTACTTTGAGGCCCAGCGAAGGAAGAGAAAACACCCCAGTGTATACTATACATCCTCAGACTGTCCTACTCTTCTGAGGAAGCACTAGAGATGTGGGCCAAAGTGTAGGATCCACAAGGACAAAGATCTTGTCTGTCTTATACTTTGATGTGTTCCTGTCCTATATACTAGTAGGTGGAAGAACACAGTGGTTAATAAACATTTGTTGGATGAAGAAATGAATGACTGAATGCAACTTGCACTATTGGTTCCCAACTTTAGTCATTTGTGTACTACTTTCATGAGTCTTACTACTCCCATGAAATAGCTGTGCTGTTATTTGCTTAGTAGTTTATTGATTCATTAAACTTTTTACGTTAGCTTTATATTAGACAGTACTATATGTGAAAATCTGGGGTGTAGCAAATATTCATGAAAACAAAAACAAATAAATAAAAAATAACAAAAATATCTGCATCGTGCACCATCTGAAACCATTTTGCAGACTAGTAGTGGTATGTGTCACTCACTTTAGAAGGTACAGTCTTACTCTATGTATTATTATCATGACATTGTTAGATTAGAAAACCCTAAAGAAGTGTATTTTGCTTTGCTTAATTTACTCTTTGGTTTTAGAAGGAGCATTAGAGTGCAAGTTTAGCTAATCCCACATGTAGAATGATGCATAAATTAAATATCAGTATAGAAAGAGAAGTCACCCTATTCAACTGCAATTAGAATGCTAGCTACTCTGAATTTTTTTCAATTGCTATGTCTGAGAAATCTGTGATTATAGTTTTCTCCTACTCTGACCTGACCAGCACAGGGTCTTTCAGAATCAATCTTGGGAAACCCATTTCTATTCACTCAAGTCCCATAGGACATTTTACATTATTCTATGCTTGATATTTTCTGGATTTCCTTTTGCATAGCTTGAACGACTGTGCTGTATCTTTGCCCATTATCATAAAAAAAGTGTGTAAGTTGCAGTCTGGCTAAGGATGAGAATTATGCTTAGAATGATAGATTATGGTTAGATTGAACCTGCCAGGTTAATTTAATTACATTAGGATTGGGTTTATATTGGGCAGATAATCAGTGCTAACATTTCATCATATCTCTCAAATTCACTGAGGCAGTCCCATGAGATAGGAGCAACATACCATTGTGTTTTGTGTAATTACTGTATACCTTCACAAGTCAGATCATATTGAGATTTTTTATTGCTATTGCAAAAATAATCTGGAATCAGTCTCTGAAAGAGGCTTTGTGGTTGTTGAGAGGGTTGAGAATTTAACCCATCACATCTCAGTTCCTGGTATGTCATTTTAAAGACCTGTTTGAAAATTTGGTTATTGGATGATTTTCCTCTTGAAAAGAACACACCAAGACTATTTTATGAGCATGCTGATTTCCTGATTGTAATTTACTCACATGGGTACTACAGGTTTGTTTGAGAAGTTAAATGCCTTCATATAAAAAATTTTAAAAAGCGAATTGTTAGTAACTGGGGGAATATGTAAAATAATAAGTAGACAATAGAAATTTATTTTTGCTTTCTTTCCAAATAAATAATTTGAGGGTACTTATTCAACCTTAGGGTAATCTGACACTAGAATAAAAAACAACTAATGCTTAAATGCTGGAAGAAGAAAAGGGATATTGATAGCCGTCTAATATTTAAATTTCGAGTGAGAATGAGGAAGGCAAGGACTGTCTGAATTCCTGATCATTTTGCAAAGTTTGATTTGGGATTATTTACACAAAAATATTAGCCAGAATATTTGCCTATGAAATTGTTTTAAATCTTAGAGTAATTGCAATTATTGTAATAGGAAAAAGTAATCTTTGATGTCTTCTTTCTTGAGATCAGATTACAATGTTTTGGGTGATTAATGTATTTTAAAAATCAAGTAAAAACATGTAAGTGAAATTAAGGTAAAGTTAATGAAGAAAAATTCTAACTAAACCAGATGAGAAAATCATTTGGTGATTTATTAAAATCAAATTTACATTTGGTAGTAAATTAATGCTGCAATGGAAACAAAGCAGAATATGGGAATTCAAAACAAACATTACTGCTTTGAAATGAAACTGACCGTCCTTGAATTCAGAATGAATTTCAATTATGCTTAGAAGCCTAGCTTGTCAATTGCATTTTCCTTGCTTTCCAAATGCACAATTTATTTCAAATAACCAAATTAGGATATGGCTGGCAGCTATTCAACTGTGCATAAGATGTCTTTCTCAGCCTAAATAAAAGAAGCCTAAACACATTGACCATTGAGAACTTTTTAGGATGCATCCATCCTCTCTAATGACAGAGTCAGTTACAAACAGATGTTGGACTTTCTGTGACTGTAATGAAATACATTGTTAAAGTGTCCTCCTATATAATATTCAAAAAAGTTTCCCTTTGCTAAGCAACTAATTTATGAAAACAAGGATTAAAATAGAGACTGCTTCATTCAAAACAGAACAGAAAAGAAGAAAAACATAAAAAGAACATATAATCAGCTCACCTGGGTAAAGCCTTCATAAATTCCTCAGCTCTGAAGGAGACATGAATTAAATGCAAATATGTATTTTGAAAGGCAAGAAAATGAAGTAGAGATTTGAAGACCTCATCTTGTTCTACTTTGGATTTATCTGGGGTTGTCTAAATCCAAAATCTGATTACCATATTTAATCTTATGCAGTGTCAGGAATGATCTAGCATCCTTTAATCTGTCTATTATTATCTGTCTTAACTATTCCTAAAGTCTGTTTATTTTCCAATATATTTTTAGTGCACAATGGTGCTCTTGTGGCTTAGGAGTTTGGATATAGGGGCGTTTATGAAACACAGCTATGATGTTCACATGGTGCAGATGAGAAGAAACAAGAAAAAAATAAAAACTTAAATGATCTAGTTTGGCTCTTTATTGGCTAATTCACTTGTCTTTGTGTAGTACATAGAGGGGCAGAAGCAGTATGGTGTACGGTATGGTGGAGGTTATAGGCTTTCATTAGAAAGATTTAAATTTGAGTTCTATTTCCATATCCTAGGTTGTTTGGTGAAGTCATTTGACTTATTAGACTCAAGTGCTTATTTGTTAAAACTGGGATAAATAATAAAGGCCTTGATCTAGAATTTTTTAAATACTTTGAAGTATGCAAATGGAAATATAGTTTGGAAATTCAGTTTAGAATTTTTAAATGAATGAAACACTTCTATTTAACCCAGTAGCTTATGAAATTGGTTATAATTATTCAGATGATCCTTAATGAATGTTATCAATGCATTATAACATTTTAGAAGGCTTGTCTGTGGCTTTTTCCCCAAAAAAACATAAATATAAGGGGTTGGAAGAAAGAGGGTTGGAGGTAAATTGCTATGCTAAGGAAATTGGACTTGATCCTTTGTCCACAGATGAGTTTTTCTGAATAAGAGTAAGTAAAAGACTAGATTAGATTGCCCTTTAGCAAGATCTCCTTGGCTGCAATGTGAAGAATGGATTGGGAGTAAAAGTTTGAAGTAGGGAGATTAATTTAGGAAGCTGAGCTGAGCTAGAAATCAGGGAGAGAGAGAGAGAGAGAGAGAGAGAGCGAACATAAAAGTGTTGGCTGTAGGGTAGGGTAGGGTGAGAGACAAAGATAACAATGTCAAAGTTTCATGATGACCTTGCAAGATCTCTGAGATAGGGATGTAGAAACAGGAACATGCCTGGGAGAAAAGATAATTTTACATATGTAGTATTTGGGAGGCTCTGAGATGTCCAAACAAATATGTCTAACAGACAGTTGGAGATAGAAATTTGGGAATCAAATAAGGAGTTGAAGGTTGTGGAAAAAAAAAGGTATGATAATAATAGAAGACCCAATCTGAAAAATGACCAGAATGTAAGGAATTGAAAGAGGATATCAAGACTGGATGTGCTTTTGCCAATGTAGCATTATTAAGGAACTTCTCTAAAATAGCTGGTAGGGAGAGGATTTGGAGTGAAAGACTTGGGTTCAAGTTTTGGCTCTCCTATTTATTAACATGCTGACTTTGAGAAAGTTAACTCCTCTATGCCAATTGTAAATGGAGATAATGTTACAGTATTAAGTATTTCATAGGACTGTTTAAGGATTAAAAAAACAATAATTGTCAACATTCTATATATAAAGTCCTATGTAAATAGTATTAATATTATGAGAATAAGTTACTTAGAGTTCTATTTTCTTAGGAGCTTACTGTAAGTAGAGATCTATTAGTTCTTAGAAATATATCGGAAAGAACAAGCAAAAAGTAATTTTAAAAAGGCTCAGAAATCTGAAGTTGAATTAAATTTACAATTCATTAGTACTGATGGCATATCTCCCACACCAAGTTCCTCCTGGCTTCCCACTCATGGCTACAATTCTACTGAAGCCCTAAGACGCGGGGCAGACAGACCATCGCAGCCCCTGAGGTTTGAATTTGCCCCCATTGTGAGGGCATCTTATTTGGAGTTCCCGACCATACAGCCTGTTTGGCACTAGAGTTTTCAAACTTGTTTCATAACAGGTAAGCCCAGCAACAAAAGCAAAATAACTCTTAGCAGCAAAGCTGTTGCATCAATGGCATTTTAAATCGTTTTACCTCTACTGACAGAGATGACTTCAGCTTACTGCTATCTGAAAGCAGTAATAAATATTGATAAGGTATTTTATTGAGATGTTCAAAACCTCACACTGCTCCAAGTGACTACAATTTGGGGCTAGAGTAAAATGGGCTGAGTAAAAAGCAACCAAAAATAAACTTCAGACGGGACCACTTGTCCACTTACTCTATTCTGAACTAGGTATAAGTAGTACCATTTTCAATTTCTACTCCTGGCTGAAACTTACACATTACTAAGTATGAGGCCACCTCGAAAGTGATTAGAGGAATGTTTTTAATCCATCAGGGGTGAGACAAGGGGGTGGTCTGGTATAGGTCCCACGAGCCCAGGAATGGGAAGCCAGGGCATGCTTCATCCTTCATGCTGTAGCTTGTTTCTTATCAGACTTTTAGGTAGAAAGAAAAAATGTTTCCATTAGCAGAAAGGTTTATTTTTTTTAACTTAAAATGCGTTCTAAAATTTCATAGCTGCCCCCACTATTCTGTACAGCATCATTATAATGGGAATTGTGAAAAGGAGACATATCCACTGTCCAATGCTAGGTGCTGTCTGCTTAACAGCAAAAGAGAAACGAGTATTCCTGAAGGGATACAGAAAAGTGAAAACTGCTGCTTCCACCGAGTGCAATTACATGTGCATATCCTTTAGTGAAAATAGAATGAGGAACTTGCCTGCCCCATTAATAGATGCAAGTATTCATTTTATCGTTGAGATTTTTTTCTCTCAAACAATAACTCAGGCTTCTAATTACCCATTTCCCCCCATGCCATTTCTACTTTGGGCAAATAAATTGAATTATTTGAAAATCTAGTGCCCCGGGTGGGCGGGGGGC